TGGATATTTCATGTGCTTTAATTAGAGAGTTGGCTCTTGGAACGCAGAGAGCACACATGTCCACTGCCTCGCACTTTGGCACACAATGGCTGCCCCCTTCCCCATTGTGTAAGCATGTTGATGAAGTCATCTCAGCGCCCTGCCCAGTACACATGTCTGGCCACATGTGTGAACACACATATGTTCTTGCAGCTGGAGCATCAGCGTCCAGAGCTGCCATACCACCTGGGGGGAACACATGTGACTTGCTTTCTCATTATGCTTCTTTGTTCCATTTACTCCTCAGTCAGCGGTGAGTGGAGGAAAGGTGTCTTGGAAGCAGATATTGAATCTCTTGTTTTTTTTTTATTTTTAAGTCTATGGTAATCTAAGCTTCTTTTTTTTTTTTTTAAAGATTTATTTATTTATGCATACAAGAGCTGGGGCACAGGCCAGAGGTGTGGGGGGGAGGTGAGAGGAGTCACCAGAGACAGAGTGGGGCGCAGAACAGTCAGACTTACCAAAGTAAGGGAGCAGCGGGTGAGTCAGGAGAGGTCTGCTGTGCCATTTGGGTTGCTCTCTGGATGGCTGGGGATCGAACTCATGCTGCAGAGGCTGCGGACAGCTTCATAGGTCGCATCCTAACCCCTTGTGCCAACAGGGAGGCCCGAATCTAGTTCTTAATAGAACTTACCATTTTGTTACCATTTTGAGCTCTGTACAGCCATCATATTTATCAGATTTTGTGGATAGGAAATGCCTCCTGGTATCAAGGCCAGGTGATGAGAAATCGGAAGTCTCAGCTCTTTGTGGCCTTCAGTAGTCGGGCAACTTAATTTTTATACACGTATTTTTAAGCCTGAAAACTAGATATGACATCTGTGTCTTCCGTGATATAGGAGTACAGATGAAATGGTAGAGTTCTGTTCCTTGAGAAACGAATAAAACCGTTAAGGTAAATATGTGGTATGTTGAGTAGAAGAAATTATTTTAGTTATTTGCTCTCTCTTGACCATGTGGGCATTTGTGGAATTCTCAGTGTTTTTACTTGTAATTATAGGCTACTGATTTGTAAAGATCTATTTTATGAATAGTATGTTTTCTATATGGAAAAACACTGGATTAAAGGTAGAAGTGTAGATTAAAACTATCTGTTCCTCTTTATTCAGAGGAGTTTTTCCTAACAAAATGACTTAAAAAAAAAAATCTTTAAATTTGAGGCCTGTCCAGAGGCTAGTATGCCGACTCCCTTGTGCCTGTCACAGTCTCAACAGCCAGCGCGTGGCTGGTCTCATTTCATGTATGTGCCTGTTATATCTCCACCATCTGTTCCTATTTATTTTAACTAAATCCTGGATAGCATTTTATTGCAACCATGGTCATATCTGAAGATAATTAACAATCATTTCCCAATTTTTCAATGTCTTCAAACACCCAGTCAGTTCTCTCTCTTAGTTCATTGATCTGTTTTGTTCGCTTCTCTCTAGCTTTTTGGCAGAGAAAGGGGGAAGGGAATGGGAATGCCACTGAAGAAGTCAGTTCATGTAGTCTGTAGTTTGCTGCTGTGTAAATTTTTTTAGATTCCCCATTGCTTAGATTGCATCTTTGTATTGTTGTTTAAAGTGTTTTTCATTTGTCAATGGTATTTTCTTCAAATTGATAGCTATATCTAGAGGAAAAAAATTGATTTCACCTGCATTAGAGATACCTTTTTGGGGGGAATTATCTTGATATAAAAGCATCATGTGTGCACAATGCTCTAGGCAAGTAATACTACTACTCACTTAGTGTGGGCCCAAATCACCCTGGTGAGCAGGGTGATGATGTGTTAGCTCCAAGGACTGGCCCAGGGTAGAAGCAGCTCAAAGTAGGTGGCCTCGAGCCATCCTCTCAAAATCTATTGCTTCCGGTTTGCTGTGATGTAAACTTATTTGAGACTTATATAAAGGCAGTAGGAAAAGACCTAGTGACAGGGACTCAAAGTAGCTTCGTGAACAAAGGACATTTATTTCTATAACTTTATGAATTTTGAGACTTTGAGTTGAATTAAGCTCCATGGGTAAACCTGGGAGGATTTTACAGTTTCGAAATTCTTATGTCAGAGAGTCTTTGGTAGAGACGAGTTTTTATTTCAATCATTGTTAGCTTAGTTCAGAAGCACATGTTCAAGAGCAATTGTTCAGATGAAAGGAGAGCAGTGGTGGAATCCAAGTGGCAGCTCACTGAGCCTTGTGCTGGAAGGAAGCAGGGGTGAGGCAGTTTCCTGTGGTTGCACAACCTTGGTGGGTGGCCTGAATCAATTTATACCATGTGACAGTTCTGAAAGGGTAGTATGGAGTGGGTGGCACTGAGCTCAGATCAAGGTATCAGCATGACTGTGCTCTTTTCTGAAGGCTCCTGGAGAAAATCTGAATTCTTGCCCCTTTTTTGGCTTTTAGAGGTGGCCCAGCTTCCTTGGCTTGTGGCCCCTTCCACCTGCAGAGTCAGCAGTGGCCAGTGGTGTCTTTCTTGCCGTGCCACTCCAACACTGACCCTCTTGCTTCTGTCTTCCTTTTAAGAACCTTGTGCTTATCTTGGGCACCTGGGTATTCCAGGAAGATTGCTCTGTTTTAAGGTCACTTGATTAGCAGCCTTAAATTCATGTCTATAACATGTTCACGGGTTTCAAGTATCAGGAGGCGGACATTATCTGGGAGATATTTTTTCTGCCAACCTTAAAGTGAGCAGAATCAACAGAGGCTCAGTGTTGCTTTTTGCACTAACAAGTTCTTTCTGACTAGGTTTGAGCAAATACTTCTACTGGCCTTGACAGGTCAATATTGAGATCTCATGTGCTACATCCGGAAACTCTTGTATTTATAATTTTTTAACTTTTTAAAAATTTATTTTATTTATTTATATATATTTTACATCATTTTTCTTTTTTTTTTTTTTTTTTTTTACAATGTTTACTTTCAGGGGCCTCCCCGGTGGCGCAGCGGTTGAGTGCTCGGTTGCGAAGCTGCCCACCGCCTCTGCAGCGCCGGTTCTATCCCCGGCTGCTCCCTGGCCACCAGAGGAGGGTCCCACATGGCGCGCAGACCTCTCCTGCCGCCCGCTGCTCCCCTCAGCAGTGTACTTCGGTCCTTCTGCCTGCTCTGCTCCCCGCTCTGGCTCTGGTGAATTCTCTCACCCTCCCGCGCTTCTGACTGTACCCAGTGCATGTATAAACAAAACAAACAAACAAATAAATAAATAAAAACATGCCTCTATTAAAAAAAAAAAACGGATATACAATGTTTACTTTCAACTTTTAACAGTTAACACTGGTTAATATGACCACATAACTGAGTCAGCCTTTTGCAAGCCAACTTAAAGGACCTTATGAAGGCCTTATGAAGGGTTGTTTTCTTTCAACTTTCAATTTCTCTGCAGAAATGAAAATTTTAAAAGGTTTCTTTCTGTTTTCTATGAGTGTGGTCAGGAAAAAGGTAATAAACACAGTGCATCCTCTTTTTGACGAAATGCAAGCTTGGTAATGATAGTTATTATATACATTTTGATGTAACAGGAGCCTGATAATTGTTTTCTGTCCCTTAGCACAGTAGTAGATTATTTGTGGGGGGCACGTTGTATAGATTTGCCAAGTGGAACCTCTGATTTGAAGTCTTCCTCACCCCATTGCTCTCTAGGTAGCAGGGAGTTTCCTAAGCATAAGGAAGGGACCTATTTTTTTTTTTTTAAATATTTCTAAATAAATGTATTTATTTTTATAATTGACGTAACATTAGGATTCCCCCCAACAAGTATCACCACTGTAATGTTCCCACACTACATTCCCTACAGTCATCACCATGGTCCATTGTGCTTCCTTCTTTCTTTGTCCCAACCCGTTCCTTTTCCCCTCCCTGCGAAGGGACCTATTATATTTATTTTTTTCTTTATTTCAACACTGAGAAGCCTGTAGTTTCTCTCTTCTGTTATTCTATTGCCTTATTGTCACTGAGAAAGACAATTTACTCGTAATCGCGGTGTTCTTTCTAATATATGGGAACATTTACTTTCAAACTGTTTTTCTTTTTTTGACAGGTGGTTTTGGTATCTGTTATACAGATCCTTGCCAGAGTTATGAACATAACTTTAAAAATCACAACAGTTTGGTTTCCATTATTAATCAGCTTCATTTGTATAGTGGGTACACATTCTTTTTGACTTTCAGTTTTTTAGAATCTTTGCCCTGTTGGTCACTGGCCTTTATCAGCTAACAAAATGGGACAGAAGAGTGAAGCAGGAATTTAGAAACCCTAAATAAGGGACCAGGAAAAAGTCTAATTATAATAAAGTAAAAATAAAAATCAACAAGCAACTATAAACCAGAGATACACTATGGGGGGTGGGGAGGAAAAGGGAGTAGGATCAAAACAAGGGGGGTGGGAATTCTATGGGGACTATAACCAAGATGAACATACATACATTATGCAAAAATGAAAAATGATGTAAAAAATATATTAAAAAAATAAAAAAAAAGTGAAGCCGTCATAACACACAGTAAGCCACGAAACCGTCTTGGTTCAACACGGTTATTACTTGGGCTTGTGTCCTGGTCCTCGTCTCGGCTCCCAGCTGTCACAGCCTTCTAACATCTGGCAGTGCGCCCTCGTGGCTCCTGATGCTCCGCTGTCATTACTGCTGGCACCTGGGTGAGGGGACACATCTGTTCATCCAAGTTTGTTGGTGGCTGGTACAGAAAGTTTTCTTGACAGTCGCCAACCTTAGGACATTTTTCCTCATTTCTAAGTTCCCCTGTGCGTGTCAGGTTCTGGAGTGTCCAAGCCCTACCTCTCTTTGTGTCAAGGTGAATTCTAATTGAGAGACCATCTGGTTTTCTCTTCTCCTCTAAAATATTTGCCTTCTAGGTTCAGTCTGTGGCTGTTTTACTTTGGTTTTCCTTGTGAAGGCAACTGTTTCTGCTCTCTTGGTTTTGATTATGTCTTGTTCCGATTAGAAACTTATTAATTCTTTTTATTTTCCTGTTTTTTTAGACTTTTACTGATTGGTGGCTGTGAAACTGCTGAAGTGGGCATATCCAAAGCCTCTAGCTGTGGCCTTTCTGCCTGGAGAGTTCTTTCAGGATCCCCTTATTACAAGCAGGTCACCAACGGTGCAGACAGGGTCACGGCAGTAAGTATTAGTTATGGCATTTCACTTGGTTAATAGGTCTTAGACAGATAAGACCTTTGTAAGATATTGAGGAGGAAATAATATGTCTCAAATGAGGAAAGCGATTTAATGTGAGTGACATTTTAGTATTTCTTTCAAATATCAAATTTAAGGCTTACTGTATTTACCCTGGTCTCATTTTCAGTAACAAAAATAGTAATTTATTGGAAAAACAAACCTAACACCAGTCCTGTTAATTTCATTTGTGTGTTTAGATGTTAACCATTACTGAGCACTTCTTACATGCTGGTGGCTCGCCTGAGTGAGCCATTTTGTGTGCCAGCTCATTTAAGTGTCAGTAAGTGTGTGAGGCTGGCTATGTTACTAGCCCCAAGCTGGTGACGAGGAAAGTGGAGTGTACTTTAGTAACTGGCGGGATCGGTGTCCAGACTCTGGCAGAAGTACTCTGTTCAGATTCTTAACTACCATTGTACACTTGCCATTCAGCCAACCATTTGTTCATTTGTTCTACAATTGAACCTCTGTTTTGTATCAGGCGCTCCTTGATGTTTTAATAGTCAGTGTAGGCTGGACTCAGTAGTGATACTAAAAGGAGTCTCATAGCACATTTCTGTGGCTTATGACATGAAAACTTATTGCTTGTTTGTGGTTAAGCCTACTGGTGGTACCGTGATTTCCCTGGACAGATTGTTCCAAGTGGCAATGAATAGATCTGTGGAGGCTGGTGACCACTTGAGGTCCCACTGTCCTTAGGAGGGCAACAGAAAAGGTGGAACTTCTTTACTGTCTTAAACTGCAGCTAATCTTGTGCTTGTATCACTTACAGGGAACTTGGAACTAGTTCTTTGTGTGTCCAGAAAGAAGAGAAGACTAGATATTAGTGAATGTTAATTGTATTTATGGTAGTGGCCACCCTGTGGTGGTATATAATACACTTGGGTTATTTGTGTAGATTGCAGGAAAGCAGACACTTGATCAAAATTATGTACCTATTCTTAGAACATCACCTGATATGTAGTGGGTACTCAGATGTTTCTCAAGTGAAGGAAGAGACCATGAAATTAAGATGAAACAACTTGAGTGAATGTGTTATAGTGTTTGTTCCTATAATTGTCACTTTATTTCTATCTTAAAGTATGCTGATTTCAAAATAATCCTGGTTAAAGATTTTATTATTTTATTATTTATTTATTTATTTTTTTTTAGTAATTTTCTCCAGCTTTATTTATTTATTTATACAAGCACTGGGTATAGTCAGAAGCGTGGGAGGGTGAGAGAATTCACCAGAGCCAGAGCAGGGAGCAGAACAGGCAGAAGAACCAAAGTACACTGCTGAGGGGAGCAGCGGGTGGCAGGAGAGGTCTGCGCACCATGTGGGACCCTACTCTGGTGGCCGGGGAACAGCTGGGGATCGAACCGGTGCTGCAGAGGCTGCGGGCAGCTTCGCAACCCAGCGCTCAACCGCTGTGCCACTTGGGAGGCCCTGGTTAAAGATTTTAAATTTGAAAAGGAACTAATAAAGAAATACTTTTTTTTTTTAAACTTGTGGATTTTTTTTAAAATTAATTAATTTATTTATACAAGCACTGGGTGCAGTCAGAAGCGCTGGAGGGTGACAGAATTCACCAGAGCCAGAGCGGGGAGCAGAACAGGCAGACTGACGAAGTACACTGCTGAGGGGAGCAGCCGGTGCGGCAGGAGAGGTCTGCATGCCATATGGGACCCTTGCCGGTGGCCCGGGATCGAACTGGCGTTGCAAAGGCTGTGGGCAGCTTCACAGTCCAGCGCTCAACTGCTGTGCCACGAGGGGAGGCCCTGAAAAAGTACTTTTTGAAGAAATTTTTAGCAGCTGTTGTGTCAGGGAGCAGGGGGACATGCCCCTACCCCACTGGTTCTTTTGAGGCTCAGTGAACAAATAAACTAATACCAGATGGATTAGTAGGTGAAAAGGCAACATTTAATAACATATATTTGGAGAATTTACTGCAAATACTGTTATCGGGCAGCCCCCGATACAAAACGGGGTGCCTGACTGTGGGTCCTCACCCGCGCGCTTAAAAACACTTATCAATGCTCTACTGCAGGCACACGCAAAAAGTTAATAAAAGGTTTATTGACAAGGAAGGGGAAAGGAGGAAATGGACAGCTCAGGGAGAAAAGTGGGAGACAAAGTTTTAAATGAGTCCTACCCGATCCGCCGATCTGGAATCCCAAATGGCGCTCTGAGAGCTGGCCGCCAGCCAGGAGCCGTGAAGCCAGGAGGCGAGCAAGAGAGCGAGCCAGCCTATGGCCCACGTGTTTGGTTTTTATACCCAACCTGGCTGCTTAACTCCACCCTCAGGTCGCAGCCACCCTCCCTTTGGTGGTGATGGGATTTGTCTTTCCCAATGTCCTGATGGCTTTAGTCTGGAGTGGGGGTGGCGTCCACAAAGCCTGTATGGGATTAGCTCAGGACATCATTTCCCCCTAACAATACTAAAGTAAAATGGGGGTGAACCAGAGATATCTATCCTGTGCTAAGGAGCGTGGGGCGTCGAGGAGGGAGGAAAGGGAGACTGCACATTGCGAGGAGGAAATGACTTCATCTTTACTCTGAGAGGAAATAGATGAGTTTCTCAGGTCCAGAGGACTGTTCACTGATAAACCTTTACCTGCATTTACCATTACCTAGAAGAAGCTACATTCTTTTAGGTCATAGGAAGGGCAGAGCAAAGTGAAAGCACAGGAGAATTCAAAGCAGTGGAAGGGCAGAGGCCTGAGGTAAGGATAAGGACTTCTCCTTAGCCTGGAGGCGCTTCACTGCTCTTGCTAATGCAGAGCAAGCTGCGTTCTTTAAGCAATGGCAGCAGACTTCCCCAGCCACCATGCCTCAGGACCTTAGCTCCTTAGACCAAAGCCTACGCTGGCCGTATTGAGAGCCTGTCTGACCTATGGCAAGATTGATCCCACCATAGTGAGTGTCCATTAATTATTCCTTTGCTTTTAGCACAGACTGAAATATGTGATTGTGAATTGAACCCAAAAGTAGATTTTTAAAAATTAGGTCAGCCTCTCAGTTTATATGACACTAGATCTTAAAACAGCTTGTATTTGTAGATCAGTTCATAATAGAACACTATGCTTTGTGCTTTTCCTTCCATTAATATCCATCCCCTCATTCTAGCACCCATCTGTTCTCTTGTTTGGACCCAGGAAGGAGTCTAGGGTGAGGGTCACTGGCCGTGTTTCACAGATAAGGACTTTTAACAACTGCAAAGAGGGAACCGGATCTAGTTCCTGTTTAGCACCTTCCCTGGGCCTCATCATGATATTACATACACATCATCAGCACTGTCAAGTTCATGCGATGATGATTATCCCATAACTTATTTATAAAAGAGGAGTGGGCAAGTAGTTGCTTATCCATACCCAATCTAAACTTCGTATCTGCAGCAATGTGGTCCTGCTTCTGTCTGTTTCGTGCACACCCACTGGTAGCTTGACATGTGACGTGTATCAAGGCAGACAGGGGTAAGAGTTTGGACAGCTTTATCTCTGCATCTAAGTGTGATATCTGCAGCTTATTTTTAAATGGGTTAGTTGAAAAATTAAAAAAAAAATGAAAGTATCTATACACACACAGAGAAAGCAGATGTGGTAACAAATTCATAATTAGTGAGCCCAGATGAAAGTTTCACTGGGGTTTCTTCTATAGTTATTTCAGCTTTCCAGTAGCTAGGAAATTGGTCAAAATTAAAGGTTGAATGGAAAAAAAATAGTGAAGTGTGGAAGATGCAGGGGAGATAAAGTGGACAAACTGGGAAAGTCCCCTTCACTAGGGTGCAGTCAAGTCTGCGTGTGCCGGTGCCTGGGGACCGGGCAGTGCAGAACCTGTCACTGCCCTGCAAGCTTCTCCTTGGCTGCTTTGAATTCTCCTGTGCTTTCACTTCACTCCTTAATGAAGTGTTGGAATCTGCTCTGCTATGCATGGTCCTTCCCTCTCTGGCCTGAAGCTTCAGTATTGGAATCTCTTAAAAGAAAATTGCTTGTGCGTTGGCAAAATAAGTGGGGAAAAATATTGAATTGCAAATTGAATGCTCTGCTGTATGATTAACTTCTTGAAATGCTGCAAGTGTATTTTAATTATGTTAGTGCCTTTTAAATGTGCCTTGAAGCTAAACTTACAATCATTCTGCATAGCCTGCCCTACCTCAAAGTCATTTGCATTTATAGGATTAGTTCCTCTTGTCAGGTGGCAGATATTGCTCTCATCGAACCTCCTCTTTGTTTGTTTTAGGTTGCTATTGTTTTGGGGTAGATATTGATGGAAAATGCTGCTGACATATATTCTAGTCTCCACAAGGCTGCTAGGTTGTAAAAGAGACTAAAATTCAATATGTGCATTGACTAAAGTTTCCAAATTAATGTCAGTGTCATCTATGTGAGGTAGTTTTATTTGTTCATTGTTCAGTATCGAATCACTGCTCCAAATATTAGGAGTATGAAGTTAGCAGCCTTCAACGAGTTTACTGTGTTGGAGGAGACAGCAGTGGCCACAAACACAGTGAGTTGAAAGGATCCCAGGTTAGAGTTCAGCCGCCGGGGGGAAAGGAGAGAGCCCGGTGTCAGGATCAGAAGGCTGGGCTTGGAATTTAGCTCACCGCTTGGCACTGTGGATTGAGACTCTTGCCACCCTCAGGTGTAACGTATGCGAAAGCGCTCGATAAACCGTAAAGTGATCTAGAGTGTTATTATCTTGTAGTTTTTTAAGATCAAAATTTTGAAAACTGTATAGAAATGAACACATCTTAGTGTATTTTTGTTATTGCTGCTGCTGCTTTTTCAGTTTAAAATATTGTTTTAGAAAGGACACAGGCTTTTTGGAATCCTGTTTCTTGGAGAAATCCTACTTCCCTGAGAAAATCAGAGTATTTCCACAGGGTCCCCTGCTCCTCTGCCTCTGCTGAGATGCTGTGACCTTGCTGGTGTTATCACGCTGGCCTTGCTCCTGCCGGGCCAGCCCCTCTGGTTGGCCACCAGACCTCACACGCTGGCTTATTTAAAAGATTTTTCCTACATCATGAGTTTTGCTGTCTTTAGATTTATCAGCATTGAAGATGCTTTTGTTTTTCCCATTGTAAAAACTCTTTAGTTTGGGGGGGAATTTAGACCACCCCCTTTTTTTCCTTTTTCTTCACATGTTTGGAATTGTTATATTTGTTTATAATTCCTCTTTCTGTTCTCTCTTGAATTTACTTCAATTGGGGATTCATTCCAGCATTTCATGAAATTTCCTTATTGATGTTATTAATGCCTTCCAGTATTTTATCAGTTTATCATTTAGTTGGTATTCCTTAATTGCTACTAATTGCTTATATAGTAACGAGCTATTTTCCTACTCTTTCCCTTTTTTAGTTATAATATCTACTTTATCAAAGCACATATTTACACGATGCTGTCTACTCTCATCCTCACCTTCCTTTACTCTTACATGTCCATTGTCTATTTTATTTTTTTATTATTATTTATTTATGCATACAAGGGCTGGGGTACAGGCCAGAAGTGTGGGGGGTGAGAGGATCCGCCAGAGGCAGAGTGGGGAACAGAACAGGCAGACTGACTGAAATACACTGCAGAGGGGAGCAGTGGGCGAGACAGGAGAGGTCTGCCGCGCCATGTGGGTTTCTCCCTGGCCTGCGGGGGATCAAACTCATGCTGCAGAGGCTGTGGATTGCTTCATTAGTGCAGTGCTTAACCCCTTGCACCACCAGAGAGGCCCCTCCATTGACTCTTTCAATGTATAGATTTAGATCTTTCTCTATTTCCGAGCAGTTTTCTTGTATTATAATTTTGACGGTGATTTTAGATAGATCTTAGTAGATCTTGCTAACTTCCCTCATCTCCGATCCCTGAACCTTTTAGTATTTTTCCAGTCGTCTTTTGCTTACCACCAGGTCTTGTGGTAGGTCTGTGCAAGGGTGGAGGCTTCTAGGAGCAGTGGAGTGGCATCTTGGGATTGGTGATTTTTCTATTCCTACTTAGTTATTTTGAAGTCTGTGTTATCCTTTATCTTCCATTTAAGCTGAGGTTGTGGCTTTCAGATAGATTTATTTTCCCCTTCTTGTCCTTTCTTGTTTTTGGAGGAAATATTGGGAGATGTGAGCTAGGTCATCACTAATGTCTTCAGCTACTCAAGTTCTAGTTGGAAAAATTTTAATCTCAGCAGAACAGTGCCCACCTTCTGTCTTTTTCTTTTAAATTACGGTAAAATTCACTTAGCATAAAATTAACCATTAACAATTTTCAAATATGCAATTTGGTGGTATTTAGTACATTAACAATACTGTACAACCATCACTGCTGTCTAGTTCTAAGATTTTTTCATCATTCTAAAAGGAATCCTCATACCCCTTAAGCAATCATTGCTCCTTCTGCTCTCTTCCCATGGTCTGTCAATCACTTGTTTACTTTCTGTTTCTATGGATTTATTTAAACTGACTATATAAATGGAATCATATAATATGTACCCTTTTGTATCTGACTTCTTTCATTTGCTTTAATATTTTTGAGGTCATTTAAGTTGTGGTGTGTATGAGTACTTCATTCTTTTTTTATAACTGAATAACAATCTATCATGTGATACATTTTGCTTATCCACTCTTCACTTAAGGGACATTTGGGTTGTTTCCACTTTTTGACTATTGTGATTAGTGTTGCTAATAATATTTGTGTTCAATTATTTGTTTGAAGACTTGTTTTTTATTAATAAATGTCTTATAATATTTAGAGAAGTGGAATGAAAATTATGGATTCACGAACTCACAAGGTTATAGAAGTCTTCAGGGTCATCTATTCTAGATCATGCTGAGATATTCCTCAGATTTTATTTACATAGTCCTCACAAGCAACCTTCCGTCTGTACTTGGACCACTCTAGTAGCAGAAAACTTTTCAGTTCTTTTGAGTATTGTGCCTCCATGAAATAGCTGCGTTACGTGATCCTCTGTATGGTGTTCTTTGAGGAACTGCCGAACTGTTGTCTGTAGTGGCTAACCTATTTTATGTTCCTAAAATCTAATCTTCAACAATCTTTGTAGTTTTTCTTTTTTTTTTTTAAATTATACTCTTCCCCACTGCCTTGCTTTTATACTTCTTAAACCTAGAGACAAAGATAGTCCTCTGTTGTATTTTTCAAATACTGTTTTTTTTAAATCAAATATAGTAGCAGTTCCTTAATGAAGGAAATTTTTGTTGGAAATTTTGACCTTTTCCATAATGTTGTTGGGATAAAATGGTAACCCTGGGCAGCCTAATTTGAGAAGTGGATTTGAATTTGCATTGACTGTACTAGACTTCTTATGTATGTACTCAAAAAGTGATTAATTATGGGTATGTTTTATAAGATTCACCACTTGCCAGATGGTTTTTTTCCTAAACAAGAGAGAATCTCATGAAGATCTCTAATGATTTCTAATGATGATTTTTTTAACCATTTTTTCATATACCAGGTTTGTTAGAGATTTTCATATTTTTATAATGAAATGCATTTTATTAATAATTATATGCATTTATCTTGTAGGTACCAAAAACACTGGGATTATTAAGGAAGTTAAGTGTCAAGTTGTACACTCGCCAGGGACAAGAACAGGTAACGAAAATTGGCTTAATGTTTGTGCTTCTCAAACATTTTCATCAGAGTACTTTAAAGGGCAAAGTGAATGAACCTTAGATCTTACAGATCTCCATTGCATGTGCTCTTACTTATATACTTTGTGGGTTGGTGCACTGAAGATTTGTGAATTTTACTTTAAGTCATCGTTGTCTCAACAAAGAAAATTAAAAACAAAATTTCTTGGGTTTGGGGATATAGTCCAAAGAGGTCCTGGAAACATCATATATCTCAGAATTTCTTACTTGTGAAGTTTGTATCCTTGTCACAAGCATAGCCTTCTTTAAAAAAACTCCTTAAATATCAGATTATTAATAATCAAAGTCATTTATGTTCTTTTATAAGGTTATTGACTTGGAAACTTTTTTTCCTAAACCTTTTTCCTTTCCTACATACATTTGCAGTATTTTTTTCCCTTAAGGTTGTTTTTTTTTTTTTTTTTTTTTTTAATTTTTTTAATTTTTTTTTTTTATAGAGAGGCATTTTATTTATTTATTGTTTGTTTGTTTGTTTTGTTTATACATGCACTGGGTACAGTCAGAAGCGCGGGAGGGTGAGAGAATTCACCAGAGCCAGAGCGGGGAGCAGAGCAGGCAGACGGACCGAAGTACACTGCTGAGGGGAGCAGCGGGCGCAGGAGAGGTCTGCGCGCCATGTGGGACCCTCCTCTGGTGGCCGGGGAGCAGCGGGGATCAAACCGGCGCTGCAGAGGCCGCGGGCAGCTTCGCAACCACGCTCAACCACTGCGCCACCGGGGAGGCCCTCCTTAAGTTGTTAACCAAACTTTTGAAGATGACTTTTTTTTTTTTTTTTAAGATTTATTTTTTATTTATTTATGCAAGCACTGGGTACAGTCAGAAGCGCGGGAGGGTGAGAGAATTCACCAGAGCCAGAGCGGGGAGCAGAGCAGGCAGACGGACCGAAGTACACTGCTGAGGGGAGCAGCGGGGCGGCAGGAGAGGTCTGCGTGCCATGTGGGACCCTCTTCCGGTGGCTGGGGAGCAGCCGGGGATCGAACCAGCGCTGCAGAGGCTGCGGGCAGCTTGGCAACCAAGCGCTCAACCGCTGTGCCACCGGGAGGCCCTTGAAGATGACTTTTTTGATTTGAAAATAGATTTCTAGTATGTATTTATTCTCCTGGGTCAGACATCTAAACTGCCCTGGACTTAAATATCTACTAAACTCCCTGAGGGTAGAGGTTTCTGTTTGTCTTGTATACTGCTGTTCTCTAGAACTTGAAGCAGCGTCTGGCATGTAATATGTACTATTCAGTATGTAACATTCAACAAATAAGTGTTGGAAGAGCAATGCTTATGAGTTCACTTTGTATTGAGCTGATTATTTTTTTCCTTTAAGAATATGTAGTTGTGGGCCTCCCCTGGTGGCGCAGTGGTTGAGTGCTGGGGCTGCGAGGCTGCCCGCAGCCTCTGTAGCGCTGGTTTGTTCCCCTGCCGGCTGCCAGCGAGGGTCCCACAAAAAAAAAAAAAAAAAAAAGTAGTTGTTCAGAACATTTTGAATATATTCACTAGAGTTCAGTACTTTTGTTTTAATATAGCTTGTACATCTGAAAGTATAATGGAATAGAACTCACTCATTTTTAATTGTTCTATATAGTTGATAGGCAGGTGAAGAGAGTGAGACAATTTAAACTAATCTTGATACAAAGATCCAATATTTAACATGAAAAGAATCTCTCTTAGAAGGTACAGTTAAACGTTTATCACGATGTTTAAGGCACAGTTCCTATTTTAAATATTGCTGCCAGTAGTAAAAGGCTTTAATTAGTACTTGTAATTAACAAAAGACCAAATGGATATTTGAGATAGTGGTTTAATACAAATGTGAAGTAGAGAGAAGAAGAAATCCTATTCTCATTATTAATTTCAATAGTATTTTGCTAGTTATCACATGCTACAAAAAGGCTCTTTTGAAAAGTTTTGGTTGGAGATTTGAGACAGGGAGATAAACTGAACTGATAATGCAATGAATTGAAAGGGCCGGGAATCAGTTAGTGGTGTGAGGAGACAGCGCGTGGTGTGAGGTCTCTGCATGCACTGTCTGCTTGCCCCTGGCTGCCTACCCAGTGAGGCTTACCTGGAGTGACTACCTTCAAGTGCAGCCAGACCTCCAGGACAGAGCAGACTGAAGCAGGCAGTAAGTGTGAGTCACCACGTGCTTGCTTGTTTTCCTTTTCCCCACCTAACTGAGGTATCATTTACAAGTAGAATTGCGTGATATTTAAAGTGTGATGTCTTGATATCCCTGTGCACTGTGAAAGGATGTTCCTCTTTGGAGTTAATTAGCACATCCATCATTTCCCATATTTGCTTTTTTCCCCCTGTACATTTGAACATGTAAGTTCTACTGTCTTAGCACAATTCGGTTAAACAGTACAGTGTTATCAACCCTGGTCACCATGGGAGACACTAGGTCCTCAGATCACAGTCATCTGATACCTGCGAGTTTCTGCCTTGCCAGCCGCTCCCTCGCCCTCACTCCCCACCCCCGCTGGGCATCCGCTCATCTACCCTGCTGTCATAGCCATGCGGCATGCTGCTTGCTTTTCTGTGTCTGGTTTATTTCTTTTAGCCTAATGCCCTGCAGGTTCATCCATGTTTTTGTAAATGACAGGATTTCCTTCTGTTTTAAGGCTGACTAATATTCCTGGGTGTGTATTTTCCATCGGTGGACCCCCGGATGGCTGCCTTGCCTTGGTTATTAGGAATAATAACAAAGTGAAAATGGAGTTACAGATATCTTTCCAAGATAGTGTTTCGTTTCCTTTGGCTCTACCCAGAGGTGGGATTGCGGGATCCATTTTCATTTCTTGAGGAACCTCCCTTCTCTTCTCCACAGTGGCTGTGCCGCTTTTTACATTCCCTCCAGCAGTGCACAGGCTTCCGTTTTCTCCACATTCCCACCAGTGTTTGCTTTCTCTTGGCTGTTTGACAGTAGCCATCCGGACAGGTGTGAGGTGATACCATGTTGTGGTTTTGATTTGCCTTTTCCTGATGATTGCGATGTCGAGCATTTCCCCCGAACCTGTTGGCCATCTGTGTGTCATCTTTGGAAAATGTTTATTCAGAGCCTTCACCCATTTTTAACTGGGGTTTTTGTTTTTGCTTTTTGTTGCAGTTGAGCTGTATGAGTTCCGTGCATGTTATGGCTATGCATCCCTAAATGTCTCTATGGTTTGCAATTGTTTTCTTCCATTCTATAGACTGCCTTTTTATTTTGTTGATGGTTGCCATTTTGTGGAAGGTTTTTAGTTTGATGTAGTCCCACTTGTTTGTTTTTTGCTTTTGTTGCCTTTGCTTTCAGTGTCCAATCCAAAACATCATTGCCAGGCTATAGACGAGCAACATTCTGGGTCAACATCTCGATTCTACACCAACATTCAACATCATCTAAATTCTAGATCAACATATAGAAATGATCAAAATGAAGTGACATTCACAGTGTGGAGTGTGAAAGAAATTCATAGAACCATTTTAACTAAAGTGAAAATTATAGCTATACCTCAATTTTATTACCTTTAGAACTACTTAATTCAAAGGAAAGAGACTCGAATAAGATTATTCTTCACTTATGCTGAGAAATCTCAATACATTATAAGGAATTATGGTTTGAATGTTTGAAGTTTACTTTTATTGTGATGTGCAGTTGATTAAAAAGCCATTTCCTCCTATTTACAAAGCACACACTCAAGAATTCTCTCCCGTCAACCAACAGGCATTCAGACTTCCAAAAATACTGCAGGCTGTGTTCACAGAATTTAGTATGGATTTTCTAACTGTGCCTTTAGATCTTGTGTCACAGTTACTGTTGGGATAATAAATTATTCCCTGGCCGGGAATAACCTGTGTGCTGTAGACACCAAGATATGTTTCTTCAAATAAAAAGTAGTTTTTATTTCAGAAGATAAAGCATAGTGTTTCTAAAGTATCATAGGTGATTTATCATTGATTGGCTACAATTCAGTTACTGCTACTAATTGTATTTTCTCACTGTGCATAGGTAAGAAAGTTAAACAAGTAACTTGGGAAATTGAAGAAATACATGCTTAATGTATATATACATTTAGTATCTGGGATTTACTTTAAAATACTTGAAGTGGGGGAAAAAACCACTGAAGACACGGTGTTTGGGGTAGGATCCTTGAAGTAGTCTTGCAATGTTGATATTTATTTTAGCTGTTGTTGGGCTTGTGAGAATTCATTTATTATCATTTCTACTTTTGTGATGTGAGTACAAATTTCTACAACAAAATGTTAAAAGAAAGGAATGGGAAACTTGCAGGATGGGTAATATAGTATCAGATGAAACTAAGGAGACCAGAAACCCACCGTATTAAAGTAAGTAACGTGTTTGTTAATATATTTATTACTTAAGAATGTAGAAAGAAAGGAAGGAAGGGAGAGTAGGAAGGGAAGGAACAGAGAGGGAGGGGGCAGAACCAAAATTTTTTTAGCATATTCACTATTTTCTTGGTGACATGGCTGTTAAATTATCGCCACTGGAATGACCTTGGGCAAACTTCTTAACTCTTCTGGTCTTCAGTTTCTTCCTGTGGAAACATTATGAGTAGTGGGGAGTACTTTCAGCTAATAAAACTTTATTCTGAGATCTGTGTTGTACAAAACCTGGGGCCTTACTGACTTTAAAGTTGTGCAAGGAGACTGCCAGGTCCACATCTGCTCCTTCCCTTATCTCTCTCAGAGGAAGGGAGCTGATAGATTTAAATTTTTGTTTAAAGTGCTTGTGCTTTTACTGCTTCTCTTTCCCAGGCGTTTTAATCTCTTCCTTTGAATCCTGATATTCTGGGCTTAACTGGTTATATTCAATTAGTGATTACAGTGCTTGAGAGAGTAAAGATGCTGATCTTTGAACTTATCTACTCACCTAACAATGTTCCTCACTTTCTGAAATTGTTCTGTTTGTTGTTTTGCCTTCTGTTTGATTCTTTGATGGCTAATGTGTTTTGGTCGCTTCAGACCTAACAACTTAACTATATTGTCTGCAAAGGGTCATGGATCACCGAGCAAGGGGTAACTTCTGATTTTATTTCAGTATAGTCATGTTTATTTTTCAGTTTTGTAGCTGATACTTGGCGTTAGCCTTGAAGGAGTCGTAATAGAGAATGTTGGGATTTTGGCCATCTGGAAGGCTTGTGACACTTCAAGGGTGTGCATGCTGCCTGGTCCCACCTGATTATTGCATTTGGGAGTGGTGGTCCTTGAATTGCTACTTTTCTAAATTTTCAGAAAAAATATGGTTATGGGCTGCCATCTCTTCCTGTGTTATTCTTTGTGGATACAAGGTTCTTAGGTCCTACCCTTAATAAGTGCTTGAATGGGAAGTAGTTAGAGGTCTAGTTAGGGTTTATTTGATTCTTCTGATGTATTGTAAGTGGTAGACCCATGTGTCTTTGCCGACATGGTTTCTGTTGTGATAACTGATAACCACCGTGTTCTTGTAGGAAAGGTCTGAGATTATTTGGACAAATATGACAAGAAAGACAAGGTTTTCGCTATGTACCCTTAAACTGACCTTGTAAAATCAGCACACCGTAAAGTTTCTCTGTTCTGTGGCAATAATTAGATTCCTTAAGTTGGATAATTTGCCAACAAATTTGGAAGATCTTAAACACTCACAGTATTCCTTAAACTAAGGAAGGCATTTACCCTTTACCGCTTCTGTGCCTATCAGTCTTGGACCCTCTTTTCCTCCATCTCTCTCTTTCTTTCCTTCTTTTCCATAGCAAGAGGTTCTGGCCCATATGTGACATATAGACTATTCCAGACATTTTATGCATATGGAATCTGTAGACCCAAAATTCAAAATCTGGTCAATATCTGCCCATAAAAGGTATTATAAATGTGATAATTGATGTGTAATATAAAGGAATGCTTGCATATTTGAATTTTGGGTTATATGTAAATTATAGTACTAGATTAAAAACTGTTTTAAGGGCACGAGCCCAGTTTTTATGTGTTAGAGCATATAGAACATTTGTGGTTCTCTGAGGCTGTGGGGACCCTAATTATGAGGCATCAGTTATGACCTCCGTGCGTGACTGCCAGTCTGTGCTCTAACATTACTGTCATGTTATTATTATAGGACGGCATCTTTAAGATGAGTCTTTCTCCAGATGGGACCTCTCTTGCAACGATTCACTTCTCAGGGAAACTGAGCATCTGGGCCATTCCATCACTGAAGCAGCAAGGGGAATGGAATCAAAGTGAGCAGGTATGTTTCCTGAATGATTATTCTTAGAATGATTCTTGCTTACGGGTGAGTACTGACAGTGCTGATTTCATGTCGTTGATACTTTACTGTGGTGCACAGCTTTTATTCTCCTCGTTCCAAAGCTTTAGTTAACTCATCACGCCATCAGTACAGTAGGAAGGGCAGATTAGTGCTGTGCACTGGTTTTATTGAAGTACAGTGTGCTGTCTATACTGCATGTGAGCTATCCACTCACTGTTACAGCAGAAACTCACTTTTGCTATTAATTTTTCAGTGAAAGTTCTTCCTGAGTCTTGCAAAATTAGTAATATTGGCCTTAGAAGGAGAAGATAAGAGAAAATAGAACTTTTATTTTTTAGTGTCTTGAAATGACAAGTTTCAAAAACTAAATGCTTTATTTATAAATAGAATTAGTATGTATCATAATCTAGAATCACTATGGGCAAGTAAGTAAAGTCTGCGCATATAACACTGAGTATTGTGATGGAGCTAAGATTTAAAGACTACAGGGAAAATTTTTACTTTTCTCTGGCTCTTGCATTTCAGCACTTTAAGGATTAATTCCCCTGTTCTCATTTCCCCATTCCCCTATTCCTACAGGGGTAGCCTTCTGCCAGCTTTGGTGGATAGTTTTGTAATTCTCAGATTGGAGTGCATTCACTGAACAGATCAGTGTCTTATACCAAAAATCTTTTGAATTCCACTTCATCAGTTAAATGCACTCTTAAGAGAATTCTTAATCACAAAAAGCAGTTAGGTGTTTGTTTTTTTTTAAGCATATCAGCTAAAAAGAAGATGGCTTTATATTTTCTTACTTTTTTATACACTTAAATTTATTTGTTTGGGATGTTCCTCAAATTTTTTTTTTTTGCCTTTCTCCCCCTAGTTGCTGCCTGCTTTGAATTCAATTTAATTTCCACATCTTGACACCCTCCCCCCCACTTGTTGGATTTAAATTTGTTCAGAATAAAAGAGGTGCTTCTCAGACTTCAATTATAGTAGCTGGATTCAAGGGTCATATTTTCTTTTTCCCTTGAAATTACAGCCTAAATTGGCTTCAGTCTTTTCTGTAGAATTGGAGTGAATCAACTGTCAGGACCACTTGTCTAATGTATTTAGGTTGGCATGTCAGATAATTGAGCCAAGTAGCACTTTATTTATCACGGTTATCAATGTTTAATGATGAAACTTTCAGCGCTTGTCATCCGGAAGAGCCTGATGTTCTATTAAATGCAGGAAATTGTCCATTTGGGCAATTTTTTCTTAAATGAAGAAAAAACTGTGAATATTATACTCTTCTTTCCCTTTTGCTTTTTGTTTCTTAAATTATTTTCATTTACTTAATAGAAATATTTATCACATTTTGAAACATATTTAAGATTTCATGTTGCTGGATGGAGCTAGAAGGGATCATGCTCATTGAAATAAGCCAGAAAGAAAAAGAAAAATACTGGGTGGTCTCACTCCTAGCAGGAATCTAGAAAACCTAAATAAGAGACCAGGAAAAAGACTAATCAATACAAAGTAAAAATCAAAATCAACAACTATAAACCAGCGACACACTGGGGAGGGGAGGGGCAGGGAAAGGAAGGACTAGAGTCAAAATAAGGGGGGGAGGTGCAGTTTATGGGGAATATAACCAAAATGAAAATGCATACATTGTGCAAAGATGAAAAAAGATGTAAGAATTATACAAAATAAAATATGTACCAAAAAAAAAAAAAAAAAAGATTTCATGTTGCAGGTATCCCAGAATGTCAATCGTGTAGCATAAAGAGACTATTACTGAAAATCTGGAAAACCCCCTGCCCCCCCTTTCTTGCATTTGTTATAGTCCTTATTGTCGTGTATTGAATTTTTCACTGGTTAGACTTTTTTTTTGCCATTTAGCTCATTAATGTTATTGATCAATTATTTGTATTAAAACTGATTCTATTAAAACAGATTGAAAATTGTTTAAAAATCTTGATACCGGGGAACAACTATGTGTGACTATCTCAGTAATTTGGAATAGGCCATCAGAAAAGTAGTGTGACAGGAAAGAAAGGGAATTCAGAAATGGGCACAGAGGTGTGTGCTGTGGAGCGGTGAGGGCAAACCAGCATTGTGTCTCAAGCGCCATCCTAGTGAGATTCTTTTGAACAAACTCCTAGGAGGTGCCAACATTTTCGCAGAACATTCTGAGCTCTTAGGTTACACTTATTTCAGGCTTATCCAGCTCAGTAGAATAGAGATACATGCATACAGTAGTTTTGTAGCTTTAATATTTTTACTCAGTTATTATTTAGCACTTATTTTGTTTCCACTTATTTGTGAAGTAAACAGTGGAGCTGAGATTTGATTTTGGATCTCTCTGACTTAGTTCCCTGCTTTTCCTATGATTATCTAGGAAAATAAATGCATTAAAAATAACCAAAAAATGTAGGAAAAAAAGTCCCTATTCATTAGGTTAGAGAATGTCAGCATGTCTTGCACAATCCCCCCCCTTGGTATGTCATGAGTTAGCTTAGTTAACATCTGGCTGTTTGAAAGATCAGGTTTTTATGTACTAAGTTAGGAATAGTTAAAATCACTATTATTACTCTCTTTTTAACATTAGTTCTTTTAATTTGATCGTCTTTAAAGATACACAGACAAAACCCTTTCCTCGGTGAATGTGCACTGAAATCTGTGAACAACCAGATTTCTTCAGCTCTCTCAAGTGTGTTCAGTTCTTTAGCTCGGTAGTGTGTGCTGGTTCCTGGAGCACCACAGAACCACTGAGATAGTCTCTCACTGAAAACGCTTAACTTTATATTAGATAGCTGAGTACTTCTGATGTATTATGACATGAGGTATGGGTGGTAGCTTGGGCTAGCAAGATGATTTCAGCAGCTGCACTTTGCTTGTGACCTTCACCTCTATCCTGGGGACTAATCACAGTGGGCTGAGTGTTCTAGGTTTGCACTTTTGTGTATAAAGGAAGCCACTAATAGGTAGTGCACTGGAGTGAGTGTACAGAGCTTGTATATAAAAGTTCTACTATAGGAGTGGGTTGTTACTATATTTATAATAACATACTCATAAAATAATAAAGTGCAACTGTTGGCTAGAGATGCTAGAGTAGAAAAGTGTAATCAGTGCTAGAGGAGAAAATGTAGTAAATCACAGTCCTTGCCCTTCAAAAGTTCATAGTCTTTTATTTATTTTTTTTTTTTTACAAGAACTGGGGTATAGGTCAGAGGCGCGGGAGGGTGAGAGGATTCACCAGAGACAGAGCAGGGAGCAGAACAGGCAGACGGACCAAAGTACACTGCTGAGGGGAGCAGCGGGCAAGACGGGAGAGGTCTGCCATGCCATGTGGGAATCCCCTTGGCCAGCCGGGAATCCAGCCCATGCTGCAGAGGCTGCAGACAGCTTCACAGCGCTGCGCTCAGCCCGCTGCGACAGAAGTTCATAGTCTTGCAAAGGAAATTAAAAGCAGCTCAATAAAAGCAGCTCAATGAAACAGCATGTTAATATCATGAAAAGATAAGCTCAGAGGAAAGGCTCATGATTCAGTGGTGATGGTGGGGTGGAGGGCTGTTGGGAATAAATAGCATTTGAGTGGTAAAGCTTGGCTATTCACAAAGCAGCTTTCATCTATGTCATTTGTTTCATGACAACCTCATTAAAAACTGTTCTCAAACTCATTTTAATAGATGGGAACAGTGCTAAAAGAAGTTAACTTCTAATACTAAATGTTGAAATTAATACTTAGGTCTTTGATTCCATAGTTAAGCTTTTTTTCCAGGGTATCTTCTCATGGTTCTTACATTTAGAAATACTGACTTTAATCTGAGCAAATTGGCTTTTGGCTCTGTTGCTAACAGGAAACAAGGCAGGGGAGATCGTTCGTGTGGTTTGTACGAATCACACTTCATAGAGTTGTGTGAGCACTAGAAATGTGAAAATATTAGTAAGAGAGGCATAATGGCATTCACCAAATATGGGTGTCTTTTTGTGTATTCATGCACGACTGAAAACATTTAGAAACACTTAAACAGCTGGAAACACTGAAACAGTGGCTTTTCCCTCATCTGTCTGTAAGTCAATGGCCTTGGGTCAGCAGGAAGGACAGAACTTTGCCTCTCTTTGTAGCTTTTCTAGGAAATGGATGGACAGCCAGTTAGTTTCAAATGGACTATATGGTAATGTATATTATGTAGTCTGCTTGTAATTTTAGTGTGAACTTTGCCTGAAAAGGAACTCATGTTACTGCTGCTCGGTACAACCTTCAACTCATTCATCGGATTGTGAGTTCAGCTCTTCTGGCACTTTCTTCATCTAATTCATGACTTTATTAGTTTTCATAATATGCTCTGTGTGATTGAGTGTTTTCTCTGTAAAATCTAATGATTAAAGATAGTTGTGGAAGTGCCTATTCTGATTTACTTCCATCCAGTTTTGAGTTGATTAAATACTTTGGCTTTCATTGTCAATATGAAAATCCATCTGGCTAGAAATCTGTGAGTATTAAGTTTTGTTCATGTCGGGAATATAATAAAATTGCTCAAGTGATTTTCATTTCAAGCATTTCCCATATGTTATGTTTATATATTTACATCTCATTTTTGGCCTTCATTATTCACTGTAGAAGTTTTATTGCTTGCCTATTTGTACTTAGATGTAGTACACAAAACTTACCTTTTCACTTTAGTTTTATTTTCTCTTTGACACATAGTAGGTACTAGACTAATTTTGTTAAGTGGATGAATCAGTGAAGGATACAGAGAAGCTGACAGCCATGTAATTAATTGTATAATCCGTAGCTGTTTCCTCAGCTCCTGGAAAATGGGCACTGACTATATATTACTTCCACAGGACTTGGGCATGTTCAATGCTAATACATTTTTGTGAAATGAATCAACATTTGAAAGATTGCCTTTATGTCACAATAGCCTTTCTGTGTAAAATCTGGTCTTCTCAGGACATCCTCCTGCACACCGTGAAGCCAGGGCACTTTAGGCTGTTTCCAGACGTAGGGCAGCGTGTCCTGCAAACAGTTCTGACATGGAGATTGCTCCTCAGATCGATCAGCAGGTGCCGGGAGAGAATGCCCCCTGGTGTGCTTTCATGGGGGTTATGGCAGTGTGGGGATCCTGTCCACGAAGCATCGGCCCACAGAGTGTGAACCCAATGTCATAAACTATGGCCAAGTTGCTCTTGTCCCTACCAGTGGGTTCCTGTGTTCAATGGAGGTAAATTTGGGCCAGTGTGAATGATATAAGGGGAGCAGTGGAATGGCGGCTTACCAAGCAGTGAGGGGCAGGCAGTCTGGAGTGCCACCTCTGCCTGATGCAGTTACATTGGAAATTTTGTGTGGGTCTCTTGTGTATAATGTAGCTCCACAAAGCTCTGCATATTGCAAAGTTCAGCATTTGGTTCAGGTATCTAGAATGAAATCTGCTATGACTAAAAGCAGATAGTTGGGCGTATGCCCAGAAGAATTGAACACCGTGCTCAAGCCCATGCTCATGGCAGTACAGTTCACACCAGCCACAAGGGAGAGACAACCCACATGCCCATTAACGGAAGAGTGGGGTAGATGATGGCTCTGCGCCAGCAGATGGTGTGCAGCCATCAGCAGAAATGAAATTCTGCTCCATGCAGCAACATGGATGGCCCTTGAGAAGGTCGTGGTCCACGAAGGAAGCCAGACACGAAAGGTTGTTTGAACTTTTTATATGAACCCTCTGGAACTGGTAGATCCACAGAGATAGAAAGCAGATGGGTGGTTGGGGTAGGAGGAGGGGGATGGGAAGTAGCTGCTTTATTTATTTATTTTTTTTTAAGATTTTTTTTTTTAATTTTATTTTATTTTATAGAGGCATGTTTTATTTATTTATTTTTGTTTGTTTGTTTGTTTTGTCTATACATGCACTGGGTACAGTCAGAAGCACGGGAGGGTGAGAGAATTCACCAGAGCCAGAGCGGGGAGCAGAGCAGGCAGAAGGACTGAAGCACACTGCTGAGGGGAGCAGCGGGTGGCAGGAGAGGTCTGCGCACCATGTGGGATCCTCCGCCGGTGGCCGGGGAGCAGCCGGGGATCGAACCGGCGCCGCAGAGGCCGCGGGCAGCTTCGCAACCCAGCGCTCAACCGCTGCGCCACCGGGGAGGCCCAGTAGCTGCTTTATTGGCAGAGAAAGCCACACTGTGGAGAGGGCGTGGGGAGACAGCACACTGCCAGCTGATCTCCCAGTGGCCTGGACATTCCAGTTAGAGCTTAGTGATTTAAAGGATTTAAGGGATTCATGAATTTGTTCACTCGTTCGCATTCAGCTACTGGGATGGCGCTGTGATAAATCTGGCAATACAAGACTGACAGAAATCCGGAATGCTTGTGTGTAGCACTGAATTTGCAGGGGATACCCGTTATTTAAGCAGTCAGCATGCCACAGTCTTCCGCCCCCGCTCCTCCACCCCCCCCCCCCCAGAGTGTCTGGAGACTGGCTCTCACAGAATGTTACTATGTGTTCATGGTGCTCTTTCTCATCATTAACTTTGAGGAAGACAGACCCATTTTGGATTCTCAAAGTGCTTATGCCAGTGAGATGATTTAAAATTTTTCCCCAAGGTATTTTGTTATATTTCCTTGTGATCTAGACATCCCTTAATTTACTCAGGGCTGAATCACAATTGTTTGCTGGCCCTAAAGTTTTAAACTGTTACTCCACACTCTCCTGGGTACACCCAAGTGTGAGGAGGGAGACTCCCATGTCACATCTGCACGGTGGTGTGTACACGGTGCTGTGGCGCAGGTGCTGTGAGAAGTCACAGGATCCCAGAACTTCTGATGTTCTTGTAAACAGTCCAATAGAACTTGAGTTTAGTTGATCGTTTTCAGTAATATGTACTGTGGTGTATTCTAATTCCTTTAAAATTAATCATCCTGTTTTGATGATTAAATGTACCAGAATAATCCATTTTTCCCCTTCATATAAATAGCCTCTTCCATGGTAACTTTTGTTCTGAATCATGTTTGAAGAATTCTGTCATCTCTTCTCAGGGACTAACTACTCTGGGTGACTTTCATAGTAGTGGAGAGCAGATTCTTTCAGGCCACTAAAAGAAAAAATGTCAATTTTAATAGACTAAAATGTCAGCCCCTGATAAATTGGTAATGAAACATAGATGCTTATTCTGTGGCATTAGATGAAAAAACATTTGACTTAAGTATAGCATCACATTTTTAGGCTTAAGAGTGCACGTTAAATACCCAAATGATTTTTGCTTATCTTTTCCTGCGCTATTGTAATTCTAAAAATTAAGTAATTAACAGTGAGACAAGAGGGTGTCTGGCAGTGGCTTAATCTCAGTTGTTTTATACTTGAGAGCATGGTGAGCATGCTGCCTGCCATGAGATTAGAATATGAATGGATTCAGTTTGAGGATTTCTTGGTTACATTTTTTTTTACTTGATACATTTTCAGTCATAAGAAGGTTGCCGGGGCCTGTCTCAGAGCTGTGGAGCCAGGTCTGGGAGGGTAAAGGAAGGGCTGTAGCCAGGCCAGTGTTGATTCACAGGGCAGCATGGTTCTCCTCCCAGCAGCTAGGCCAGTATGTGTGTGAGTAATGTGGAGTTAGTGTATCTTGTTTTGTTTTGCTAATTGTGTCCTTGCTATTCTTACTGTCCTTTGCACATTCACACTATTTTCTTCATTAAGTTTAGTCACAATACTTGTATGTGCTCTTTTTGAGTGTTAGAACAATTGCTTTTCAAGATTTTGGAGAAGTGTAAATTTCAACTCGGTTTAACTGGGAGATCAAAGGAAAGCACTGTTTCTATATTTTGTTACTTAATTTTTTTTTTAAGATTTATTTATACAAGAAACGGGGTACAGGCCAGATGCGCGGGAGGGTGAGAGGATTCACCAGAGACAGAGCAGGGAATAGAACAGGCAGACTGACGAAATGCTCTGCTGGGGGGAGCAGCGGGCGAGACAGGAGAGGTCTGCCGCGCCATGTGGGATTCTCCCCGGCTGGCTGGGATCGAACCCGCACTACGGAGGCTGTAGACAGCTCTACAACGTGGCGCTCAACCGCCTGTGCCACCAGGGAGGCCCTATTTAATTTTTTAATTAATCCACAGTTCTTGAAGATCTTAGACTTTTTTCACATTGTTGATTAAAGAAGACCTGCATATTTTTTATTTTTAGCCAGGCTTTGATGACCTTAATCCTGGTTGGAGACTCTCAACTGAGAAGAGGAAAAAAATCAAAGGTGAGTTGTATAAAGTGTGATAATTAAAACCTTAGGAGACTCCTATTGTGTAATACTGGCACTCTTTATACGAGACAATATGTGGAGGGGGAGAAAAAGTCTCTTCCTTCCTACCCGCCGAAGCTCTGTGGCTGGGTGCTATAAAATTCGATTGACAAAAAGACGGATCAGTGGGAAAAGCAGAAGTGTCTTCTTAGCATGGGCCGGGACTCATGCAATGGAGCACCCTCTTGGGGTTGGTTGGGAGTTGTGCTTATAAAGCCTATTACCAAGGAGCAGTACATTTGTGGGGAGTGACTAGCTAAAGGAAAAGAACTTTGAATTTCTAGGGGCCACAGGGGGTGTCTTTGTGGGAAGACAAATACATGGTGAAACTAATTGAAAATAAGGACTAGTTAGTAAATGTGTCGTGTGGATTCCTCTGATGCAGTCCCTGGGTGGTTAGGGATCTAGAGTTGTCTTTGGTGATTAATTCTTGTCCTTCCTGGTAGAGAGAAGGGGCACCTTTGCAAATTTATGTTCTGTATTTAGGTAAATAGGGGGAGGACAGTGAGTGTTCCAGCTCAAAATAATCCTCGTGTCAAAGCAGCACATTTTAGGTACATGTTCAGCTATCCCTCCATAAAAAATGGCCTGTAGGTACTTCTGCTTTACTTTGGTAGAAATGCCAATATTTCACAGAACTGGAACATGGCAGGAGGTCCAGTTTTCTGATGGTGGAGTATTAGTTTTACGGTTTTTTTCCCCCCAAAGCTTAGGGAGAGCCTGGGTGGTAGAGCTTGATTCTGCCCATAGGCCACCTTTGAGATGGCACACTGAGTATAAAGGTCGAGAGTGTACTCCTTTTTAAATACTCTAGGGGAGATAATAGAGAGGGAGTCTTCACAGGGTAATAAGCATTGAGTAGTTATTTGCATTTGGTATATCATTATCCAACATATTCACTCAGAAACGCGCTATTACTTGTCAGAGCAGAAGGCTGACTTCGTATTTAGATGGTCCTCTCCTCTTCTGCCCCTCTGTACACCTAGCTGTAAGCACAGGGACTCTGCCACAATTTTTCAGAGTTCCTCATTTCTCTGGATCGCTTTAGGCTTAAGTCAGAAGAAAATGTTGAGTTGTTGTGGTCTGTGCTTTCTTGAAATAATGAGTTATTCGCATGGAGCTGAGCTCCTGTTTTGAAATCTCTTATCTTCTTGCTCAAATGTTTACATATTTTTAAACTGTAATTTTTGAATATTAAACCTTACAAGGTTTTAAGTATTACCTTTAAATCACATCAGGTCTTTATGAAACAAGGAAGGTATTAAATGGGTAATAAAATTCTTGTAATATAATGCCATTTCCTTTTGAATGCCTTGGTTTGGTGAACAATGATTAATTTTCATCTCTAAAGATTCTTTTTTTGGTCTGGAAGGTGTTTGCCTCTTTCTGATTATTTGCAAGTATAGGGGAGGAAAAAAGGTCTTTTTCTCATTGTCCTGTAGATTCTCTGGCTGGGACCCAGTAAATTGCACTGATAAATGACATCGTCCAAAGAAAAGCATAAGATTTATGTAATGCAAGGTTCACGAGACACTGGAACCTTCATAAGGAAATAGAAACTAGAAGAAGCAGTGAAAGACAAGATTATCATAGTAGGTTTGGAGAAGAATGGAAAATGATAGAAAATCTCCTAAGACAAAAGGGATGAGCTAAGGGCAGTGAAGTAGGCGACAATTAGCCAGGCCTCTTCTTTCAGACTCCTCTTGGCTTCCTTCTGTCTTTGGAGATATGGATGCTCCTTCCCTCCAGGTGTCAAGAGGACACCTCTCAGCTGAAGGTATTACCAGGCCGTGGTCAGAAAGTCCTTTCTGAATCTACCATTTCTCAAATCTGCCATTTCTTTTATTTTAAAATAGTTCTTAAGTGAAAGTGGCCTCTTGGGGATCCTGACCCCCCCTCACAAATTTAAGAGTAAGTCACCAGTGGAAACTATTATATTTCTGTCTTATATTTTTTAAAAGGGTATAATTCTTTTTTGTTTGTCTGAAAAGGTGATATAGGAATATTAAAAAAAAATATTTTATTCATAATATGTACACCTACCTTTTAACTCTTTGTGTTGAAACGTGCCCTGTTTTCTTTGTGTACCGTAATTTATTTATCTCTGCATTCCTAGAATTTTGGACTTTGGCTAATTGTTGGCATTCAGATTGTTATTAAATGAGTTACCATTTTGTAATATTTGGTGACTTTCTTTTTATTATTTAACATACCTTTAGTGCCTTGGTATGATTTTTAAATTGATTATTGGGTTTAGTGGCTTGTATTTGAACCACACCGACTGATAATTTGTGTTGACTCCTTTCCTCCATTAGAGAAAGCGTCCCTTTACCCTCTGATAGATGTGAACTGGTGGGCAGACAGTGCCGTGACTTTGGCTCGCTGCTCTGGGGCTTTGACAGTCTCCTCGGTGAAAACCTTGAAGAATTTACTGGGAAAATCCTGCGAATGGTTTGAACCATCCCCTCAAGTCACTGCTACCCATGATGGGGGGTTTTTAAGTTTGGAGGTAATGCTTTCTTTCCCTTTTAGAGCAACCGTGTGTTTGAAAGTAATCTTGTCATCTTTCTTCTTGTCTTTGAAGAAAAACTAGGGCTTGGAATTGGAGATTGACTTGTACCACCAGAGAGATCTGTATTACTTAATCAATTAAAAACTTGTAGGGGAATAAAGAAAATTTGTAGTCATTTGCTCTTGTGTAAAGCATGTTTTCACTGACACAATGGTTTTTTGTCTTTTTCCTACATTAGTCATGTTAAAATGTGGGAGGTATTTTTACCTAAGAAATAGAGACTTTATCCTATTTCCACGAAGTAGGACAACTTAAAAACTGTGGGTCTCTTGGTAAGAAAAACATGTTTATCATAACAAAAGACATGCGAAACAAGGCCAGTTATTTAACATTATGTTTTTTGTCACTGAAAAACTCTTCTTTTAAGTCTTTCAGTGGGAGCAACCTTCAGTAACTTTCACTTCATTGCAGATCCCAATACTTTTTTCTTTAAAGTTTGTTACTGAGCCTAAAGATTTTCTTTAAAGAGAACCATGGCTTAAAATTTAAGCAACTCTTTAAGTCTGGAATGAAAGTTATCTTTAACGGTCAGGCTTTCAGACTCAGTCCTTTGTAAAGAGGGTGGGAGAGCTTTTCTTGGTAAAGCAAATACATATCTTCATGTTCATTTCCTAAATAGATTTTTTAAAAAGCCCATCTTATATTTTCACTGCAGGTACAAAAATTGACATTTTCAGCTCCTTTGTTTCCCTGAAATAGTTACAGGCCTATACTTACGACCTGTTAGCAAACAGGTGTTCGTTTGCTAAATGCATCCTTGCGCATTTCTCCAGCCACTGATGGATATGTTTGTTGTTGAGTTCCTTTGAATTCCATTTTCAATATTCATCACAGGATTGATGTAATGACTCAAAACAGTGTACAATTAAAAATGTTATCTCATTAATGTTAAGAACTTGTCCCTAGTTCCTCACTATTAATATAACGCCCTCTTTTCTCAATTTAGTGTGAGATTAAACTTGCCCCCAAACGATCTCGTTTGGAGGCGAGGGGTGGAGAAGACGATGAAGGTGAAGAGGATTCTGATTCCGACCAGGAAACCTCTGTCAAGGCTCGCTACTTCGGCTATGTGAAGCAGGGCCTGTACCTGGTGACAGAGATGGAGCGGTTCGCACCGCCGCGGAAGCGCCCACGCACCATCACCAAGAACTACCGCCTCGTGAGTTTGCGCTCAACCACCCCAGAGGAGCTGTATCAGAGGAAGGTGAGCGCACCCCGGGCCTGTGGGTTGCCGCCACATCTTTTCTCACTGAAGAAAAGCTAATTTTTCTAAAGAAAGATGACATTTAAAGAGGGATGCTTATATCATGGACAAGTCACAGAGCTTTTGAAAACAGAGCTGGCCTTTGTGGCTGAGGAATCAGAATTAAAACAGTAGATAAAAGATGAACTTTCCACTTAGCCTCTCCACTTTGTGGCTTGGCCTCAGTCCTCACCGTATCTGTTCAAGAACAGCTGTCTACTCAGATTCCAGATGGTGACAGACTTGCCTTCCAGTCAGAGCTTGGCTTGGGAAGCACATTGGACCAGCACTGTGTGTTCCAGGTACTGGTGCTGTCCCTTGAGTCGCAGGCACAGCCTTGGACCAGGTGTTAGCTCGTGTGCTCCTGGCCTGGCTTTGCTGTCTTTTTAACACTAAATTTGGGCATTTAATCTTCTGTCTTCCACTATAGTGCCCAAAGAAATACCTGATGCACCTGCCCTTCAGAATGTGGGTGAGCCCCAGGTGCCACAGTGCTCACGGAAATAGCTGGTGCCGACCAGGTTAAGGGGTTGTTATCAGGTATCAAATCATTGCAGTGACTCTGGGGACAGTTCAGAAAAGTGACATTGCTCTTTCCTTTTCCTTGTTCAAAGATTGACAGTGAAGAGTATGAGGAAGCCTTGTCTCTGGCTCAGACCTACGGCCTGGACACTGACCTGGTGTATCAGAGGCAGTGGAGGAAGTCTGCAGTCAACATCGCTTCAATTCAGAATTACCTGGTATATTTCAATGTTTTGGAAATGTGGTAAAGTTCAAACTTGCAGACTATCTTTTGGTTGTAGGGCTTCACAGTATCTGAAGTGTATTTTACTGAACCTGGAAAAAGTATCTTGTTACCAGGTTCTGTTGGCCCAAATACTCATAAGGCAGCTTCTTCCCTGGGCATGGCCTGTTCCTTTCTCTGACATATCTCCTCTCTCCATTTCCATCATCAGGATCATGACAGGATCCTGAACCACATAGCAATTTGAACAGGAAAAGTTTTAATATGGAGATTTAGTTTCAGTGATGAGAGAGTCACTATAAAGTTGTGAAGAGAACTCTAAGGAATACCCTAGGACTGAAGGGGCATACCCAAGGTGGGGACATACTTGGAAAGAAGCCTTCTCCCCCCAGGTTGGGATCCAGACCTCACGGGACAAGGGCGGTTAATGCACATTGGATAGAAGAGAAGTTCTCTGGGATGCCTTGGGCCAGGCATCCCATACTTGTCAAGGTTTGTGGGCAGGGAGAGGTGGGGTAGAGAGGCAGGCTAGATGCCTGTGGTTGGGGTGCCAGTGTGCCGAGTTTGGGGGACTGGTAAGCAGGAAACCCCCACCAGCAGGAGGATTGCTTAGGGTTGGTAGATAAGTAACCAGGTCCAGGACTGGGACTGAAAAGGAAAAACTCCCACTGATTGCAGGTTGGCCTAGCCTGGGAAACGTCCCCTCAGGCACCTGAGAAGTTCATTTGGAAGGAATCTGCCCACAGTAGTGCCACTGGAACTCAATGGAAATTGTCCTCAGTTAGAGGAAAGGGGGTAGAAGCCCCACCGAAAGTCCCCTCCATGCCCTGCTGGCTGCCAAGCCTAAGGAGCCAGGAGAAAGCCAGAGCACGTCTGGACTAGAAAACAGAGCCTTCCCCTGTGCAGTGGCTCTCCAGCACCCTCTGTAGATCAAATTTAGTACTGCGTTGCTCGCCATCCCCTAGCTGGCTGTGAAGAGACTGGTGAAGGTGAGTTGGTGAATAGGTAATGACACATCAAGACTGCCAGACACTAATGGCACACTTTTATAAGGGTCTGACTACTCACCTGACATTTAGAAAGGAAAATGCCCTTTTATTTGAGGTGATTCTAAGAAATGTTCTTAGAAAAACTCAGAACTGTTTTTCCAGAAAAGTTTTGTGCACGAGTAATTCAAAATAAACAAAGATGTAATCTGTAAAAGGTGCACGTAAGAATTTGATGTTTCAACTAAACAGAAAAGTAATCTATTCATATAAGTAACACATCAGAGGTGAGAGAACATGAGAGATAGTGGATAAAAACAAAACAGAAGATGATGAAATTGCTTGTGTTCCTGTGGAGTGTCAGAACACTAAACCTGTACTGTCCTGCTTCCTTCACACCCCGAGGAGTGCGCCCGTGCGGTCATGTGAACCCACGTAATGACTTCCTCTGGCACACAGTAAAGGACACCTTTGGTCTCTGAAGGAGCTGACAGGTATTGGTAGAGACCCAGCAAGTACTTTTTTTTTAATTGGGGAAAATACTTAATTCAGTAAAATAGGCAAGTAAGAGAAAGAACACTAGACCGGGGCAGTGCAGGTTACGGAGGTGGCACTAATATGGCCTTGTATTTAGGGAACTTATCATCTTACTGATGAGACAAGCTTCATTCCTAAAGTAAGTGACCACACAGGAAAGTTTCAGATACATGGGGTGGTACCCCTTGAGGGTGGTGATCATTATAAATTCTGGGTATGGAAGATGTCATGTGACAAAAGTATTCTGAGCAGGGATTTGAAAGGATTCAAAGTCAACCTTCGATGATAGTGAAAATGGGGACTTATGAAAAGAAAGATTGATTTGGATTCAGGAGAATGTTGAGAGCCTGGGTTGACTTAGGCTTTTTAGGGTACGGGAACTGTTGTGGAATTTTGACTTTGGAGGTGCAGAGGAAGGTGGTATAGAAGGTAAAATGGAGTGGGAGGAAAGTGGTGGTGGGAGGCCCTGCTCAGGGCAAGGCACTCTGCAGTGTATGAAGCAGAGTCATGGAGCAGGGGAAACAAGGATATTTTGGAAAGAATTGATGTGATAGAGGTTCATGGAAACAGTGGGTGTGACCCAAATCTTACTTCAAATTGATAAACACAGTGACTTTCTAGCATGAGGACAAGCCCAGGATTTTGAATGGAGTTGGAAGAAACTGTTAGAAGGGAGGAATAGGCCTTTGGGCTTTTCAAAGAATAGCATACTCTGGATTTTATGTTTAAATTATCGTCTGCGCCTTGTGGTGTATCTCATGGCCAAGTAAACAAAGAACCTTGGTATGCTGCGCCTCATTAGTTTTGTTTCCAAGTTAAGCATGCTTGTTTAAATAGGATATAGATTTTCTCTGCTCTGTATTCTCTGTTATACAGGCCAAATGCAAACTAAAGACCAACTATTAAAGTTTGGAAAGATCTTTTTATGTTTCCAAGAAAATGAAAACGAGCTTTGTGTTTCATTAGAAGAGGAAAGAGAGCAGTTGGAGTCACATTTCCTTCACCCAACTCTAATCACCTTTGTGGAATTAAGTTGTGTTGAGCTTTTTCAGCACCTACCGTGTGTTGCCAACTTCTTAGGCTCCACACTCCCTCAGGAATAGCTTTACCACTTCAGAAGGCAGTTGTCAGGGGCTCTCAGGTGTTATGGGTTCTTTAATGACTCTCTTTTATTTTTATTTTATTTTTTGTACCTAGAGTAAAATAAAGAAACGATCGTGGGTTCTTCATGAGTGTTTGGAAAGAGTTCCTGAAAATGTGGATGCCGCAAAAGAGCTACTTCAGTATGGATTAAAAGGCACAGACCTGGAGGCTCTTTTAGCAATAGGAAAAGGAACAGATGATGGCAGGTTGGTTACAGAAGGACTGGAATTCAAAAGTAAAGGTGGCTTACCCTTCCCTGAGACCATGGGAAGGGTAAACTTCCCCTGATTTGGTTTATTCTGTGATAAAGCAGCTGCCTTTGATCAGTGTTTTTATATCTGAGGCCATAGCTTGCTGTCCTTAAAGGTATATATGTTTATGTGTGATAGCTTGATGCTAATACGAGTACATGCTACAAACATGTATGAATGTCAGCTATTCCTAAGTTGGGGCTGAAGACACATACCTGTGTGTGCTTCCAGGAAAGAGGAACTTCCTCAGACAAGTTCCAGCTTCCTTCACTTTCTCTGTAGCTTCAGACCTTAACAGAATCACTTTGATCAAATCACATGTCTTGTGACAGCACCTCTAACTTTTAATCACCATGGGGATGTCAATTAATAATAATAAAGTTTTTTCAAGAGCCATTGATCATCAGATATTTGGTACTTCTTTTTTTAAAGATTTATTTATTCATGCATACAAGAGCCAGGGCACAGGCCAGATGCACAGGAGTGTAAGAGGATTCACCAGAGACAGAGCAGGGAACAGAACAGGCAGACTGACCAAAATACACCACTGAGGGGAACAGCGGGTGAGACAGGAGAGGTCTGCCACACCATTTGGGTTTCTTGCCGGTCGGCTTGGAATGAACCCGCGCGCTGTAGAGGCTGCGGACAGCTTCACAGTGCTGCACTCCACTGCCTGCGCCACCAGGAGAGGCCCTATTTGGTACTTCTTTTGAGATACAAATATAATACAGTATCTGCCAAACACATGATGTAAATGAGATTCACAGTCATCACTTTTTAAGTCATCACTTTTTAAGACCTTACATAGAAGCCATACAACTTGTAAACTCTGGGCAAAACCTTCCTCATTGACTGTTTAACAGTGGGTGAATATAACCTCATGTGATTTCTCTAAGTAGTTTTCTTTTCGTGCAATATTAGTATTTCTATATATGATGATTATGACTGACTTCTTTCCCATTTTTTGGATATAACGAGTGAATTGCTTTACTTGCAATAGCAAAAGCTCTCTTTTAAATTGGAAATTTGCTTAATAATAAAATCTGCTAAAGGTGCGGAGTGCATCTTTCACTAACTGAAATTAAAAGATTGCTCAAAATAGACTTGACTTTCTTTCTTGTAGATTTGCGTTACCTGGTGAAATAGACGTTGATGGCATCGCCTACGAGGACCTTTCTCCAGCTGATGAGGGACCTGCCAAGAAAAAAACAGAGGAGCACAAGAAGAGGCGAGAACTGCTGAAATTAGTGAACTTTTCAAAGTAAGTGATTTATTACTGTTTGCTTGGTAATTTCATTAAAGGTAACTAGTCATGTAAGCATGTCCTATGCTGGAGATGATGGCTTTATATTATTTCAGCAACTTAAATGCATTGGATACTATTTTGCCTTTGTGCTTTTGGGTGCTGTTCCATGAGTTTCAGGCTCAGTGGGATATTGATCATTTTTATTCTGTTTTAACTCTTAGTGATATGTGCTTTTATGTAAATATGAGTGGTCTAATATAGTTATTCAAAACAGGTTGACACTGGAACAAAAGGAGCTTTGCCGTTGTAGACTGAAATTACTAACTTACTTAGATCGGCTCGCAACGTATGAGGTAAGGGTTAGTTTTGTTCAAACCAATTGTGTTCACTTGATCTGTGATTATAAATTCTGTGACTTCCCTAATACCTAATATTCTTGGTCAGTAGAACTATGTGGGAAAAATTCTTTTTGTACAGAAGTAGTTTCTCTTGTATACCATTATGGCAAAAATTAGAGCTCATGACAGGCCACTTGTTTTGTTGGCCTAGAGACTAAAATGTTTTAGCCATTTTAGGGTATCTTTGTTTCCTATGTTTATACTCCTTTTGGTACTTTCATTTTACATTTTGATTTTAAAATTGTTTTATAGCTCACATATAGGATTGCTTATATCTGCTTACCAGTTGCTAATATCCACCTATAGTACCGAATTTCAGCATGTGCTAGGTTTTAATAATTCTAATATGAATATTTCTGACTCCTTATTTTAATGATTTGTTAGTGAATGGAATTTGGCTGATTGAACTTTGATCCTAATTATGACCCAAATTAGATAGTTGAACTTAAAAAAAAATATATTTCTTCAGGAACACAGAGATATCCCCATGGTGGGCATTTTTTTTTTTTTTTAAAGATTTATTTATTTATTTATTTATACAAGCACTGGGTACAGTCAGAAGTGCGGGAGGGTGAGAGAATTCACCAGAGCCAGAGCGGGGAGCAGAGCAGGCAGAAGGACCGAAGTACACTGCTGAGGGGAGCAGCGGGCGGCAGGAGGGGTCTGCGCGCCATGTGGGACCCTCCTCTGGTGGCCGGGGAGCAGCCGGGGATCGAACCGGCACTGCAGAGGGTGCGGGCAGCTTCGCAACCCGGCGCTCAACCGCTGCGCCACCAGGGAGGCCCCATGGTGGGCATTTTAATAGTACATTGTACATGAGATCCAATTTACGTGTTGTTAAAGGTATGAGGCATTTCAATAAACATAGTTTACGTTGCTTTTTCACTTGAACCTCATAGCTCAAGTTGCTTGGAATTTAATATCAATTTCAAGCCTTTGAAGGTTGACCTCCCTTGTTTTTACTTCCTCAGTCTGTGTTCATCTCCCTTTTGCAGGCATAATTCTTTGCTTTTGGTGCTGACACATAGTAGGCATTGAGAAGATATCACTTCAATAGTACCCATCCCCAGAATAACGAGGAATTTACTACTTGTGATACCTGCAGTCAAGTCCAAAAGCATTCAGTCCATCCCCTACCCTCTAACATAATAGAAATGGTTTTAAATAAAAATACTAGTGGCAATAGGTGCTATTTTTGTGGCAATTAGGGAATATAGTCATGAAGATGACATTTCACATAGACAAGTCACAAAAAATTGCTAATAATTTTTTTGACTGTCTGTGCTATTACCTTGACTGTTGGATTGTCATTATTTTAAAGCATATTCTTTTACTATCATTTTGTTGAGGTAATGTTGCTTTACAACACTGTATATGATTCTGAAGTAGCAGATCCACCTTTTCAGATGTGTGTTACCACACTGCCCTTGCCACCAAGGCACCCATACTTCTCTGCCACGGTCCATTGGATCCCTTTCTCCCTTTACTCTCGAACCCCACCTACCCGTCTAGTAACCTCAATTTTGCAGTCAGATATCTAGTGTTTGTTTTGGTTAGCGTGCATGTTCCTTTGTTTTGTTTCTTTATGTTCTACGTGTAAGCATCTGGTGTTTGTCTTCTCCTGGTCTCCTCCAGGTAGTATCATCTCCTCTAGTTTCATCCATGTCGTCACAAATGGCAAGATTTTCTCTTTTTTGATAGCTGAGTAGTGTCTCATTGTGTATATACCACTTCTTAATCCACTCATTCATCTTTTGGCACTTGGGTTGTTGCTGTAACTTAGCTGTTGTAAATAGTGCTGAAAACAGGAGTGCACATACCCCTTCGAATTAGTGTTTTCACATTCTTGTGGTAGATCCCTAGGAGTAGAATTGCTGAATCATGTGGTAAACCTATTTTTAATATTTTTAGAAAACTCCATACTGCTTGCCACGGGGGCCTGGACCAGTCTGCATTCCCACCAGCAGTGTCCAAGGTTTCCTTTTACCCACCTCCCTGCCAACGCTTGTTGTTTCTGGTGTGGCTATATGTATGGGCCGTCCTCAGCGATGGGAGGTGGCATTTCGCTGTACTTTTGATTAGTATTTCCCTGATGATAAATGATGCTGCACATTTTTTCATGTGCCTGTCGGCCATCTGCATGTTTTCTTTGGAAAGTGACCGTTTAACTCTTTTGCCCAATTTTGGACAGATTTTTTTTCTTTTTGTTGAGTTTTCTGAGTTCTTTGTAGACCTTGGATATTAGCTCCTCGTCAGGTGTATGTTGTGCAAATGTTTTCTCCCATTCAGTAGTGTGTCTTTTTTGTTTTAATGATTGTTTCTTTTTTGTGAAAAAGCTTAAAGCATATTCTTTTATTATGTCTCAGCGCTGTGATGTTCTGAGGTAATACATAAAAGCGCATTGTGAACTGCAGAAGTCATCATAGATAGAGTTTGTTATTTTTATACTTAACCTTACTTTCACCAATGATCATATCTTAAAAAGTGAAAGTTCCATAAAAATGTTCGATTTGACTATCCAGTTAATTTTCTTTTATTATTCTTTAGTTATTGAATTGCTGTTTCCTACTTGACAGTAATAAGTACATTTATTATTACACAGTAATAGTGACATTTAAAGTATCTATTGAGGATGTATTTTTGTAGAATTAATCTAAGCTTTTGAAAAATAGGTGAAGTTGATTAATTTGGTTGTTAAAACTTAGAAAGAAGGATGTTCAGCTATAGTGGCTAACCAGCCAGCTAGTAGTAGAAAGAGGCATTCATTTTAATCCTAGGACATGGCTTATTTTATTCATTCTGTGATAAATGAGATAAAAATGGGTTCATTTAAATTTTCCGCCCTATACACCAGATATTATGTCAGTTTTGGAGGTAGAGAGATGAACAAGTAATAGTCCTCATGGAGTCCTCATTATATAGGCAATACGTGATGATAATGAAGAGATGATGGACTGATGAAGGAGCATAATGGGGAAAAACATTAAATATTTCCTGGGACTGTCTACATAGGAAGTAATATTTCAACTAGTCCTTAAAAAAGGGAGGCAGGGACTTGGGAGTACTGTGAGGGCCCTTGAGAATGGGAACTCCATAAAGATGAGCTTTTACTCATGTGCTGCTGGAACTCCAGAGCTCAAAATGACACCTGGCTGGCTAAGGAGCTTGGTGTGTATTTGTTAAAGGAACAGGGAGGTACGAAAATACCTTAGGAAATAGCAGCATCTTTGTTGAGGACCTGCTTGTCAGCCGGTATCTTATGTACTCAATCCAGATTACTTCTCAACAGTCCTTTGAGGCAGGTACTGCTATCCTTTCAATTATATGGATATGAAAATTGAGACTTAGAGAAGGTGAGTAACTTGCCTCAATGAGTAGGAAGCAGGAGCTTCTAGCTGGGTCTCTTTGATTCATAAGCTGATGTTGATCATCGTGTTCTGTATAATGACAGGCCAGTGGCGTGAAAGAAGGTGGCAGATGGCACGCTCCTGAGCAAGGGAACTAGTCGGGGCACTGGCCCTGGGGGTCACGGGGTGTATAGAATAAAGGCAGAAGATACAGCTAGAAGTTTGTGGCTATGTTTTGGAAAGTCTTTCCTGCTGTGTCTGGAATTGAATTTTCATCAGAGATTGAGTGAGTTTAGGAAAAAAAGGGAGGTCGGGAGGAAGACTGGCTGTGGGCAGCTCTCTCAAGGTTTATTGTGAAGGTTGGCAAAGAAGGTGGAGCAGCTGGAGGCGTCATTGAGATTAAAGATTTTTTTTTAATGGAAGGTACAAGTAGGGTTTGTATGGTAATGGGAATGGGCCAGAAGCAGACGAGGAGGAAATTTTTGAAAGAGGAAAGATAATGTTGTGAGCACAGAAATGGTAGGAATGGAAGCCGGAACACTGGTAGCTTTGAGGATCTTTTAGCAGCATTTTTCTCTGTTGTACCTTGTAAGGGGCAGGAATGGACACAGTGCAGGTTTTCTGATCCCATGCAGACCGGGTAAAGGAGGATTCGGAGTCCTCAGTGGTTTTGCAGGCTTTTATTGGGATTACCAGGTACACGGCAGGCAGGGGTGCTGGGGTGCCGGGAGGCTGGCAGGCCTCCCAGCCCCCAGCAAATCTGCACTCTCTCTGTGCTCTCTGGCGTTCTCTGCTTCTGCTTCTTTGCTTCTCTCTTGGCTTCTCTTCGGCTTCTCCTGTTTTTTCTCAGCTTCTGCTGGCGTCCCCGTGACGCCACCCTTAAAAAAAATCACAGTCTCAGCCCAGGTGAATCCCATCTACCTAGGCCCACACCCTACTCCAGGAGCCCGCCATCAGGCATGCATTCAGGACCTCAAGGATCCATCATCTATCCTGATGGCAGGAGGGCAGAAAAGCCTGACATTTTCTTTACCCTACATACCTGAAGGAGGCAAAGTCGTATTGGTGCAGATACAGGTGGATATCTGCACCAATTTTTGCTGTGTTGGAAAAAAGAGAGACTATGTGTCTAATTCTGTAAATTAAAAAAGTGTATGAAGCAAGGTTTTTAGCTGAGAATGGGGTTAAAGGGCACAGGGCGCTGGGAGGCTGGGAAGAATGCAAGAGCAGGAGGGAAGGAAATGGAGGGCGTTGAGGGACAGCACTCAGGGTCTGTTTGCAGGCTGTTGTCTTGAATTTCTCAATTTTTAGCTTTTTATTGTAAAGAATTTCAGACCATGAAAGTATGGAGACTAGCGCACAGAACCCTGCGTGCTCATGGCCCGGCTACAGCCGTCGTACACGTTGTCCCATCTTTTCCTCTCTGCCGCCCTCTCCTGCTTTTTCTCTCTTGTCAGTATTTCAGGGCAAACCACAGACTCCTATTATTTTACCCAAACTAGTTATATAGCTCTAACAGATGATTAGGACTCCAACAAACATAACCACGGAATCACTGCTATTTTAACCTAATTCTTAACCGTTCTCTACTATCTCCTGTGCCCGTGTATGTTCAGGCTCCCCCGGTGGCCTGGCAAGTGCTTTTTTTATGGTTCGTTCATTTGAATCAGGTTCTAAATAAGGTTGAGATTTTCAGATTGATATGAGAACTGTCAGCTTGGTTTTGTGATAATGTCCTGTATTCACAGTTCCTCGTTTGGTTTGATTTGGGATGATGCTTTGCCAGGTGGATAGGATATAGGGGAAGAAAGCAAAGGACGGAAGAATTCTCTTTATATTGCACCTGTGATTTTAAGCTGGTTAGAAGAGATGAGAGACTTTCAGGGGAGACAGCAAGTGTAAGAAGGCAGGTCAGCAGGTTGGATGCCTCGGCCGGGCTGAGGAATTATGTCAGTGGCACCCACTTGGTGAGCGGGAAGGAGAGGAGCGCGGTGACAGGTTCAGTGCTGCAAGGTAAGGTAAAGAGTATCAGGCTTTTCTGCCCTTCCGCCATTAGGATGGATGATGGATCTGTGGTCCTGAATGCAGGCCTGATGGCAGGCACCTGGAGTGGGGTGTGGGCATACGTGAGTGGGAACACCTGGGCTGAGAGACTGAGCTTATAAGGGCGGCAACACGGGGACACCAGCAGAACTACGAGAGCAGTGGAGAACAAGGACACCAGAGAAGGCCGGAGAGCCCAGGTAGAGGGAAGACTTGCTGGAGGCTGGGAGGCCTGCCAGCCTGCCTGCCGTGTACCTGGTAAATCCCAATAAAAGCCTGCAAAAGCCACCGAGGGCTCCAGGACTGTCTCCTTCTTTACCCCGTCTGCTCGGGTCATAGAAAACCTGCCCTGTGTCATCCTGCCATTACAAGTGCTGCCACGGAGATCCCAAGAGGGCCTTCTTGGTGATGATGGACCCAGAGTCTGCTCGTGGATGTGTAGCCACGGTCAAGTGAAGGAAGTGATTGTTGGGAGGAGGAGTCACATCCCTGAAGTGGCGGCTCCTTCTTTTGTTTTCTGTGAGCGTGCATCGACTCGTTTTCCCCCCCTCCCTTTTCCTGGTGTTCGTCCATCTACTTTTCAGATGCACCTTCCCACTTCCTTGCTAAAATTTAAGTGTTGTTCCTCACGGCTCCTTTCATGCTACTTAATCTCTCTTGGGATCATTTTCCAAGGGCTGAGACATCTGCTCATATCTCACCCCATAACTCCTGACCTGTGGGCCCACGTGCCCGCCGGGCAGCTCCTTTGAGGAATGCTGTAGTCCTGCTTCTGCATGTGTGCACATGACCTCTCAACCTCCACCCTCCCTTCCTCATCTGCCCTAAACATCCTCATTCTCCTGCTTTCCATTTCAGCGAATGAATTCAGTCTCAGATATGATTGGTTATTTGCTCTGCATAGGGATGTGTGGTTGGCACGGGGCTCAGCATTACACACAGCAGATGAGGGGTCCCGCACTGGCACTTGCCATGTCTGACTTCCATTTTTTTCTTGGGTTTTAGCTTCTGAGTCACTCTGGGAAGCTTCCTCGTCTTCCCGAAAGTAATTTTAGCATCTTCCTTCTGTTTCCCTTTCCCTGTTCATTTTTCTCTACTAGTTTTTAAGCTCTTGGGGAGCAGGGACATACACTTGCTGTTCATTATGTTACTTTTGCCTATCATGGTGCCCCTAACACATAGTAGATGCTCAATAAATAAGCATTTTGTATAAACTGCCCCAGCAGCAGTGAGGCCAGGTAGGTACCAGTGGCCAGTGCCCATTGCGTGCAGCCATACAGCCCTGTGGAACTGTCACTTACTTGCTTTTTCCAGGTGGTGGATGGTGGTTGCCCTAGTGTTATTTTTACTGCCTGTTTCATTTACTTCTGGATTAAAAAAAATTAGCATTTATAATAGAGCATTTTCAAAATAATGGCAACAATGCAGATGTAGTGCTTCAGTTAACAGTTGATGGTTTAATTAATTCAGGCCTTATTATTATTTTTATTTTTTTAAAAAAGATTTATTTATTTATACAAGCACTGGGTACAGTCAGAAGCACGGGAGGGTGAGAGAATTCACCAGAGCCAGAGCGGGGAGCAGAGCAGGCAGAAGGACCAAGGTACACTGCTGAGGGGAGCAGCGGGCGGCAGGAGAGGTCTGCGCGCCATGCGGAACCCTTCTCCAGTGGCTGGGGAGCAGCTGGGGATCAAACCGGCGCTGCAGAGGCTGTGGGCAGCTTCACAACACAGCGCTCAACCTCTGTGCCACCGGGGAGGCCCTCAGGCCTTATTTATTTAGGTAGGCAGAGTTGTAAAGGTTTTTAATATTTTGTCACCTATATTTAAAAGCCTTTTCATTAAATCATTGTTTCCCCTCAGGAAATCCTAGGAGTGCCTCATTCATCTCAACAGAGATATGACGCTGAATACTTTAAGAAGTTCAGAAATCAGAATATTGTTCTCTCAGCAAGAACTTATGCTCGGGTAATTTCTTTTCTGTAAATAAAATTATTATGGTTATTAACGCTTTCTAAATCCTTGAGCCATGCAGTTAGTGTTATCACAAGCATGTGCCATCATTTCGTGCTTTGTTATAATACTAGTAAATGTAGAGAAAATAGAATCCTATTTTAAAATATTATTCATCATTCAAAGTTTTAAAAATAGACAGTTTTTATAACATTAAATAGGGAAATGTGATCCAGACAAGTAAAAATCAGGACTATTTCAAAGTACTTCATAAGCAAGTGGATTTTGGTTTTTAAATGTCGTTTTGCAGTCATTTATTTCTAAGGTTTACATTAGAAACTGCTCCCTTGCCTTTTGTACAGGAAAGCAATGTCCAGGCCCTAGAAATTCTGTTCACTTACCATGGAGCTGACCTGCTTCCTCATCGCCTTGCGATTCTCTCCAACTTCCCAGAGACCACTTCCCCACATGAGTATTCTGCTCTGCTGCCTGAAGCTGGGTATGTGACTTGGCTACCTGAGTGTTGCCTTCTTTCTAAATAACATGTTTTTTTTTTGTCTTAGACTGGACACCTTAATTTAAAAATGTAATTTGTGTGATTTTTTTCTGATTATAAAATTACTTCTGACTTATTTTTAAGTGATCCTTACCCACAAAGTCTAGCATAACAGGGTCACCTTGACCTAATGGCCAAGAACTTTCCTTTTTTTTATGAAAGCCTCCAGATTTGACTGAATATAATTTATTTTTTGCTTTCTGCTTATTTGGAAAATAGATCTAACCTGAATAAAAATGACTTTTTCTACTCTAAACTGTTACCACAAAGAAAAGGGCTGTTGTCTCGCAAATATTTCCTATCATTTCCTCATAGATTTGAATGCATTTAGTGTTGTCTTCTCAGGATTGCTCAGATAAATAGCTGATTTTAACCTGAAATGTCTGTATTGGCTTGCAAAATAGCTTTCCAGTGGTGTTCCATGAGCTGTCCCTTCCCTGTAGTCTCATCATTCTTTGACCATCCTTGTCCATCCTTTTTATGGCTTATCCTCGCCAGTCACTTCTGTTCCTGCCTTTCTGCCTTCTTTAACAAACAGCCCGTCTTAAACCCAAAACTCACTCTTAAATGCAGAGAGCATCTCTTTCTTATCTTTGTCTCCCCTGGGTTCTCCAGAAATGTCTGCTAGTGGGTAAGTTAGGTCTCTGTTGGGCCTGCTTGCAGAGATTGAAGGATGTCCTGAAGGAGAGGAGCAAAATCTGCTCTCACCTGTTAATGCAGGAGGTCCCCAGGGTAGTGCTTCCATAGACCAGGGTTCCCTTGGTCTCAGGACTCAGTTGCTACTTTAGCGCATAGTAATAGCCTGCACCCTTTAGCCGTGTTTAAAGATTTACTCTAAGGGACACGCAGATCAATAAGATATACTTATAGAAATTAAGCCCATTACTAACATTTCTTACTATCTTTATCAACAACCATAATTTTTGGTAATAGAGATTTTTTTTTAAATGAAAAAGATAAATTATGTTTTGATTTTCCGTGTTTTTGATACCTGTAACACATTTTGGAAAGATTATTTAGATTTTTCCTTGTTGCCTCTTTTTTTGTCACAAAACCTTTCCAGAATGATGAATGCAATCGTGCATAAGGTAGTATTTAGAACAGTTGTCTGTTGGAATAGTAAACCATAGGGGTAAAAGCATCGACTCGAGTCAAGTTGCCTGGATTGGTGAGCTTGTATAAGTTTCTCAACTGCACAGGTTTTTTTCACCTGGGAAGTAGAAATGATTATAACTCTTATTCATAGTGTTGTGGGAATGATTGAATTACAGAATGCAAAAAGCAGAGAACAGTGACACCACGTAAGTGTTGCTTAAGTGTTGGCAATTACTAGTGCAGAATCCCCTGCTAAGGCCTTGCCTTTATGTATTTATATATGTCATTTACTTATTGTTGTAAACTCCTTGGAGAGTTACAGAAAAGTTGCAAAGGTAATTCAGAGCTCCTGTTTGTTGTTTGCCTTCTTACATAATCATGGCACATTTATTAAAACTAAGAAATTACTGTTGGAATGGTCACTTCTGCATGAAATGTGATATATATCCCCGAAAATCTCTGCACTCTGCCAAAAAGATCATGTTGTTAAAGCCACAGGGGTTAATGTGGAAAATGGGGTTAGTCACCGAGCATTCAAAAACTGTTCAGTGGAACCAAATTAGGAAGCTAATAAAAATTGTGCTGTAGTTTTTACATATGCTAAATGGTTAAGAAACATGTAAATACTAAGATGCAACAATTTTCCATGAAAAAGACCTGAGAACAGCTTTGCTTGTGGAATGCGTGCAGAGGAATTGCAGGTTGGAACTCTGGGGTAGGCAGCACGGTCTCCCCACTTGCTCCTTAATGAGTTCGCTCGGGGAGTGTGTGTCCCCCTGTGTGTGCTGACGAGGTTCATGATGCAGTTTTCTGTTCCCCTGTTGTTTCTTGTGGATGAAAATTGTGCTTCAGCAAATGCACACTTTGTGCCACGGTCTTGTCCCCTAATATATCAATTCATTGGGACAAATTTGCATTTTCAAAACATGATTGCAGAACTGCCTGTACAGTGCTATTTGCTAAACTACAGATTTACTTGGATTTAACCAGTTTTCCTACTAATACCCTTTTTCTGGTTCTATATCTTATCCAGGATATCATATTGCATTTGAATTCATTTACTTTTAATATGTGGAAATAAATTCTGTCGTTCAGTATCTGTCAGTCAAGGAATTCTTTAACACATATATAGACTAGGCAATGAAAATTGATATTCATATTTATATTCCTGGATTATGTCTAGAATCAACAAGGAAAGACTGAAATATTTTTAGTGTATTTTGGGATACTGAAATATTTAAAATATTTTACAGTGTAAGTGGCAATATTGTTTGATGGAAATAGAATATCCAGAACACCTCATTCTTCTCATCATCCTAGAAAAGCTGTTACTATAGTAACTTGGCAGTTTATTTGCTTGTGAATATTTAAGTTCAGTTGGGTTACTTGCTGAGTGAAAGTCTGACTCGGAGAAGCGGGCTGTCACTGAGCCGGACTGTACTCGTGTGAACCCTGAATGTGTGTTTATAGGTTTCATGAATTGGTGTTTCTGTGAATTACTTGTTGACTTATAATCATTTCCTTTTGTCAGTTCCCTAATAATTTATGTGACATCATTATGACTTTGTGGAACATTTAGCCACCGGTTGTGTAGAGTACATAGGACGTCAGCCTGATATTGTGTCCACCTGGTCCCATATACAGCAGCGGCTTTGAAACTACATAAAAAGCAAGTTTCATTTAGAACAGCCTTGTAGATAGTCTGATAAATTGTATGACAAGCCAACCAGGTATCCCTCCCAGTGACCTGCAGACCCAGGACCTTTGTGCTGTACATTCTTTAACCCATGTGTTTGGCCCTGCTGTATTTTCCCTTACTAGCCCTAAGTCTCTTATTCCTGCCTTTCTTAGCCCTTTGTCCCTTTTGTGTGCTGCCCCATGTGATACTGCAGCAGAAAAACCAGGGTACCAAGAAGTTTTCTCATCCCCCCTTTTCATGGGGACATGAAAGTTTTGCAATCTTTTCTTCTCGCTGATAAGTGATTGTCACTCACCCAAAACTGGAAGGCCTCTGGGTGACCAGTTTGGAGCATATTTTTCTTTCAGAGGTTGCCAGTATCTGGTGGCATGTTTTTTTAATGACAGACTAGACAAGCCCACATCTCATCCTGAAGACCTGGGAACAGTGCTGGGAACGGAAAACACAAGGGGTTGATGTGGTGCAGTAAATAAGATGCTGCAGCCAAAAACATTACTTTTGAAACAGAAAACAATCTGGAGAGAAACCTGTCTGACTTTTCACCTTTTTAGCAAGGTGGTTGCTGGTTGTCTCACCTTCAGTCCTGTTCAGAGTCATGCCCATGTCTTCTCTGCATTCCTTAGCTGTATTTTTGACTCTGTGGTAAGCATAAGAGACCATTAGAACCTTTTGTCACGATGCACTTTTCATTTTCATTTTAATTGTAAAATATACATAACAAAGTTTACCATCTTAACCATTTTTCATTGTATGGTTCAGCACATTCACATTGTTGTACAACCAATTTCCAGAACTCTTTATCTTATGGAACAGACTCAGTACCATTAAATAACAACTCATTTTCACTTCACTCCAGCCCCTGACAGTCAGTTACTGTTCTGTTTTCTGTCTCTATGCATTTGATTATGCAGTATTTATCTTTTTGTGATTGGCTTATTTCACTTAGCCTAAAGCTTGATATACTTTCAGTGAAATTAATATTATAATTAAATGAGATTTACAGTGGTTTGTACCTGTGGGTCATGTTTCTATTTATGCTGTGAAAGTGTTTCATAGATAAAGGACACAGATGAATTCTGATCAGAGGCGGGCGGTTACATAACCGTGTCTGTCTGATTCCTTATGGAGAAGAACCTCTTCTTCATCTGTGGGTAATAAACAGGGCATCCAGGCTGAAAGGAACAGCTAACCTCTCTTTGAAATGCACTGTTTTATATCTTGGATTTGAATAGCCAAACATGGAGGCTTTTCCTATTATTTCAACAACACAAAATTTATGTTGTAAAGACAAAGCACCAATATTTGTTTCATTAAAATTCTCAGGAGGGGGCCTCCCTGGTGGCACAGCGGTTGAGCACTGGGCTGGGAAGCTGCACACAGCCTCTGCAGTGCCGGTTCCATCCCCGGCCGTTCCATCCCCGGCCACCGGCGAGGGTTCCACATGGCGCGCAGACCTCTCCTGCCGCCCGCTGCTCCCCTCAGCAGTGTACTTTGTCAGTCTGCCTGCTCTGCTCCCCGCTCTGGCTCTGGTGAATTCTCTCACCCTCCCGGCTTCTGACTGTACCCAGTGCTTGTATAAATAAATAAATAAATCTTTAAAAAAAAAATTCTCAGGAGGGCAACCTTTGTTTTGGTCAAAATGACTTACTTGCTAACTTAAATCATTAATAAAGAATTTACTTCTAAAATGATGAGATTCCATTATTCTCAGTCTTCACAACTGAAAGGCAGAGAGAACATTTTGCTGCACTTTCAGTTTCCTCTTGATGATGTTTTAATATTTTACATGAGCTGTGTTTTTTCAGAGATGAAATAATTGGGACCATCTTTTTTATTAAAGTTGACTCTGAGCAGTTTTCCATTTAGAAGTTGAATTATTGTTTGGTTGATTTTTTTTTTTTTTTTCCCTTGCAAGGTAACAGAAAACATTATCATCATGAATTACTTAACTTTATTTCATAGTTTTAAAGGTAGTCTGGAAATCTTTTCCCATATGGCACTTCTTAATGTTTCTTACAAAGGAGATTTCATTTTTGATTTTTAACTTTTGTTACAGAAATTTATGGCTAGTTAATGAGTTCATGAGAAGCTAATTTAGAAACGAAGTATTTCTAAGTTGCTTCATCTTATTTTCATCAAACTGTTTAAA